AAATTTCTTTTACTATTGTGTGAACGATGCAACGTCTTGAAATATTGCGGAGACAATTACGTTTGATCGATGCCTTCAGAACGAAACAAACGTCCGTTAAATCGTTCAGTACTGAGAAAACTCCGGACGATAGCATCGATAAAACCAAGAACCAAGTGGATATTGAAATTAAAGAAATAAATTCGCACGAAGCTCCTGAGAAGAATGACTCTTTTAACGAGAAAAGTGAGTCTGACGAATCGATTGAAAATCTATCATCCATAACAATCTCGAGTAGCGAATCGAATGGAATGAAGTCGGATAAGAATTTAGAATTAGCAGAAGTGAAGCTGAGCGGATTTGCCCAAACATTTGAAAAGTTCTCACGAATCGATGAACCAAAAGAACCTGAAAAGCCTTTAACGTTCGCTACCTTACTCCGTCGCTCGGAGTTTATGAACGTATGTTATTTATATTTAATCACTTTAAGTACAGTTTCATATTTATTTTATTCTTATTTTAATTGCGAGTAATTAAAATATTACAGTTGGGAGATCCAGAAGGAAAAAAGGTCATAGGGAAAATATTTAAAACTGTAAACGACGATTTGTACATAGATTTTGGATGGAAATTTCATTGCGTATGTCCTAGACCTTTAAAAAATGGAGAGTATGTATTCAATTGAATCATATTTATTATATTACGGAATATAAATGGATTGATAATTTCAATTAAAAATTTATTACAGATTTTACGTTAGGGGCTCATTGGTAATTTTAAAGATAAAGGATCTGGAATTGTCTATGAGGTTTCTAGGCTCAACCATGGATACTACTATTTTAGAGGCAGATTGTATACTTTTAGGTTTGTTACGTTCTCCGTTAAAAAAAATCAATCCCCAATCAGAAATGTCCCGAGTTTAATAATAATTCGATATTGCTTAATTATTGTATTATCAAAGAGATACTTTAAGATTAAAAGAAAGATTAAAAAAGTGTTTTTATGATTTAACCTAATGTTAATATATATACTCAAGTATTTTACCAGTAAGTATCGTAGATCGTTTTGTATATTGGTTTGTATATTGGAACGATCAGTACTATTCTCAATCGTTTATCTTCCAAGAAACGATGAAACTCCATATGTTTTTTGTTTCTTTTCGTTAAACTTCCTATTATTTTCTACCAAAGACATAACCGATTGCTAGGTTAAGGGATATAACCTAAAAAAGCTTATACACGGTATATGCGATGTATGAATAGTGGTAACACTGTGTTTTAGTTCCTGCGTTGTAGTTCCTCTTATAGTTCATATTTTGTCCATGCCTGTCGCTGAAGTCGCACACTTTGCTCCAAGCAAAAGGTGAGGTACGGTCTTAAATCTAATATACTTGTATCGCTTTTAATGTTTCTATTGTAATAGTATTTATTTAAAAGAGAAATATTGATAATACAATATATATATATATATATATACACACGCGCGCGCGCGTGCGCACACACACACACACACACACACAGACACATGTTTCTTCCATAAACATGGTAAGTTAATTATTTTTACAAAAACTCGATATGACCAAAATAATTTACGTACGTTTGTTTATGATTGAACAAGTATGATGCATGCGTAATAACTCAACAATTATTATTTTTTATAACACATAATTTCTTTTTACAGGATTCTGTTTGCTGCGGATGTCACGGAGTAGTTTCAAATGAGAATGCAAAAAATATATTAAATGACGATTTATCGATCGAACCTTCGGATTATATCGATGCAGGTCCAATAGTTAGTAAAAAAATAATTAAATTATATGATGGAATTGAACTATTAACAGGCTATAAAGTTAGTAACATAATTTTTTATAATTTATATATATATATATATATGTATGTATGTATGTATGTATGTATGTATGTATGTATGTATGTATGTATGTATGTATGTATGTATGTATGTATGTATGTATGTATATATATATATATTCTTTTTTCAAGATACCCAAGGACCTAAATTCTGCGGTATTATGCGCAACATGTTGTCAAAAGATAGAATCCTTTACAGTCTTTCGAATGCAACTTTTGGATACATTTGAAAAACGAGCCAACTACAATAATCCTGAAAATGTGTCCAAATCTATATCCGATTCAGAATCTATACGACGTTTGGAGGATCAGAAAAACAGTTCGATTGTGGATAAAATTGCTAACGTTATCGTTAATAAAATTCCAAATAATTATAAATTATCAGAACCGAAAGTTACAGTCGACGATGGTATTAATGTAATCGACAATAGTATACCCTTAGAATTAAATAATTCATTGAGCGACGAATCTGAAACAAATGATTCTTTAGGAAGTAATAGATTGTCAAACGATCATGAGAATAATAATCTTAATGATTTGGATTATTCAAATGAAGTTACAGATATTAATCATTCTAAGGTAATATTTTCAAAAGTACAAGATAATGATATAGAATCGGAAGTTGATATTTATTCGGGAGAATACGATGAGGTGTTGGAATTAGATGTACAATGTAAGAACGACGATATAACGGATTTAGCAAGTATTTCTGAATCCGAAGCAGAGGTATATGATTATGAGCCTATTGGAAAAAAAATTAAGAACTACAATGCACTATCGCCTGCTTTACTCTTCTAAAATGTACTCATTTATTGTTAAATTTAAGTAGACTATGGTCTCACTTTACGAGTTATATATCAGAATCTCTTATTGCATGCTATTCAAATTTATGCAAATGTTTGTGTAATATACCAATGATTTGTATGTATATAATTTGGAGATATTCAAAGTATTAAGAAAAGTATCTTATTATGAATTATTCTTAAAGAATACATTTATAAGAAAATAAAGTGTTTTTATTCTTGTAAATGATTTCATCCCTACCTTTATGCGTGTACACAAGAGTGCAAAATTTTTACTATTATTATTAATTAAGTTAGTTATGATATAATACTGGTGCAGACGCATTTACTTCGTTCAATCTTGTTAAACGATAAAGTAATCTTTTTTCTTACTTGGCAATGCTTGAAAAATGAATTGTGAAATAATATAAAAAAAATTTTCCTTTGAGTACACACAGCGGCTTGCTATTGCAGAAAGTGTTTCAACTGGCCCATTAGCTCAGTTGGTTAGAGCGTCGTGCTAATAACGCGAAGGTCGCGGGTTCGATCCCCCCATGGGCCAAATCTTTTTTTTTTTTTATTTAAATTTAGACCAACGATAAATGTAGACGTAAAATATTGCTAAACACATTTACGCAGTAACTCTGACCGATTATAATATTTCTTTATAAAACTATACATTTTTAGAAAATATATAATTATAGACAGTATAGTATACTATTTTGTACAAGTCAATATATTACTTATAGAATGAACTTTGATAACACAAATGGTATTATTCGATAACTCTTCACAAATATATTTTATTATTTCAATGTACTTTCGAAAGATAAATGATGATGCGATAATTATATGTATATATATCTCCACACGCAGAGAGAGAGAGACGCGTGTATGTATATATGCATATGCATGGATATGTATGGGAATAACCAAAAGGATAACAGTATCATGTAAATAGGCACACGCGTTTATCATTACTACGCAGCGAAAGAATTGTGTTAATTACAAGATTTGTAACTAACAACGAGCAGTGTCTTTCATGCTATGCTACATTTGATATCTACCAAAATCATGTATCGCTCTAGAAAACTTCAACTTTTATTAAAAACGTAACGGATTGTTCTGTCAATTTTTCATACAACACTATTCTATAAAAATATACATAAACATGTAATTATTTTGTTTGCGTAGGAATCTCCTAACCTCGAGGATACGTTCGCACAGCGAAACTACGCAGAGTGAAAAGAAAATCGACAAGGTAAAATTGATGACTACATACGATGATGAGTATAATCATATCTGTAAAATATAATTTTTTTTTATTCACAGATACTTATTGCAAATAGAGGAGAAATAGCGTGTCGAATATCACGGACGGCCAAAAGATTAGGAATAAAAACTGTAGCAGTATACAGCGATGTTGACAGGAATGCGATGCATGTGAATCTTGCCGACGAAGCTTATTGCATTGGACCGGCACAATCTAGTCAAAGTTATTTGAGACAAGATAAAATAATATCTGTTGCCAAACAAGCAAAATGCCAAGCGATACATCCTGGGTATGGTTTCCTTTCTGAAAATGTAGAATTTGCAGAACTTTGTCAAAAAGAAAGCATAATTTTTATTGGACCTCCAGCGAGTGCAATAAGAGACATGGGTATAAAAAATAAATCAAAGGAAATTATGGCCAAAGCCGGTGTACCAGTCATACCAGGTATTCCACGATGACGGTTGAATTAAAAGGGTATTGTAATATAATATGTTTTAATATGTGTAACAGGCTATCATGGAGATGATCAGTCCAATGAAACTTTATTATCAGAAGCGAGAAACATTGGTTTTCCATTGATGATAAAAGCTATACGCGGCGGAGGTGGTAAAGGTATGAGGATTGTTTTAAATGAAAATGAATTTTTTCATGCTTTGGAATCCGCAAGAACCGAGTCACAAAAAGCATTCGGAGATTCAGCCGTTCTATTAGAACGATACGTTGACAAGCCAAGGCACGTGGAAGTGCAAATATTTGCGGACAAACACGGCGATGCAGTTTATTTATTTGAGAGAGATTGTTCTATACAAAGGAGACATCAAAAAGTTATCGAAGAAGCACCCGCTGTACGTAAAGATATGGATTATTATGAAAGGCAATATAGATTAAATATTAGATAATCGTAATTATATATTAATAGAGACACATTAAATCTCATGTTCTGAATATATCATATAGCCTGGTATATCGAAAAAATTACGATTAGAATTAGGCGAAACGGCTGTCCGTGCTGCAAAGGCTGTAGGTTACGTCGGAGCTGGTACTGTAGAATTTATAATGGACCGAACTAACTACAATTTCCATTTTATGGAAATGAATACGCGTCTCCAGGTAGAACATCCTGTTACAGAAGCAATTACTGGATTAGATCTTGTGGAATGGCAATTGAAAGTGGCTGCCGGTGAAGGGCTTCCTCTTAAACAAGAGGAAATCCATCTTCGTGGACATGCTTTTGAAACTAGGATTTATGCGGAAGTAAAATATTCAATTTAATTAAAATAATAATAATAATAATAATAATAATAATGACAATCATCATCGTTTCATTGGCTGACAATGATATTTCTAATTAAGATCTTTTATGTTTATTTTTTTCTTTTCCATCTCGCGACAGACTCCAAGAAATGATTTTTTACCTGGTGCAGGAAATCTGTCCTATTTGAGAACACCCGAGACATCAGAGAATGTTAGAGTCGAAACTGGCGTTAAGGAAAATGACGATGTACTCGTTCATTATGATCCAATGATAGCAAAATTGGTCGTTTGGGGATCCGATAGAAATGAAGCACTTAAAATTCTTAGATCAAAACTTTGCGAATACAATGTAAGAGTTTACAAATTTTGTAGAAAAACAAAACAAAACAAAAAAAAGTATTATAATAGAAAGTATCGTAATATTATTGATAGTCGAAATTAAAAATTAATTATTTCCAGATAGCCGGAATTGATACAAATATTGAATTTATTAAAGATCTATGCCTACATCCAGATTTTCAAAATGGAAAAGTTCATACGGGTTTCATAGCAGAAAATAGTAAAGAGTTATTCCCAGATTTACGGATTCCTAATGAAATATTAATTCAGGGTGTCCTTGCATTAATCTTATACGAGGAAATGAATGCCTTAAGTATATCTTTAAAAACAAATAATCCTTTTAGTCCATTTGCCACAGAAACTGGACTGAGATTTAATCACGTTTTAAATAGAACATTCAAATTTGCTATCGACAATAAAAGTATGGAAGTTAGCGTTAAGTATGTCGAGCCAGAAACATTTTCTATGAGAACCAACAATATTGGACCATGGAGGAGAGTGACTGGTACATTGAAAAAAAGAAATAATGCGTTAGAATTAAATGCAGAAATAGATGGAATAATTGGGAGAACGAGAGTTACAAAGCTTGGAAATAGATTACACTTATTTACTAATGTAAGCTGATAAGTTAATTAGCTTTGGAATAACGTATATAATTGTCGTTATTTCACAGGAAAAGTACAAAAAAGTAAAAATTTATTATTATTTTGTAGACGCGAGAGTGGCAATTAAACATAGCGAATCCTAAATTTTTATCTGAACTGACGAAAAATGTACAACTGGAAGAGTCTTCCGCAGTAATCAGTCCAATGTCGGGTATAATAGATAAAGTATTTGTTAAACGTGATGATAAAATTAAACAAGGCGATGCATTAGTCGTTATCGTTGCTATGAAAATGGAAGTAAGCTTATTAATAAGTTAAAAATTATAATAGAATATTCCTAATGTAATTCCTACAATTTATTATAATTTTTTCTAGTATGTCATTAAAGCACCTGCCGACGGAATTGTCGAAGATGTTCCCTGCACGGTTGGTGATAAAGTTTCAAAGGACGAACTAGTCGTCAAACTGTTCGAGTAAAGTTCCAATATAAGATAAAATTAATATATTTTGTTGAAAGATTTAATAAAATAATTTTTATCATTATTATATCTACGAGTACGATATATTGATCTGTACGTATTTGACATCGAACGAGTCGCTTTATAGAGGAGGATCGGTGACGTCGAATAACAACGACAAAGGCCATTGGACAATTTCGGTCCATAGTTTTCAAAGGAATTCCAAAAGCTTTTTGTCCGAAAATTGTATTCTTCTGTGGCGCCACTGTCGGCGCAATTGCACTGCTACATGTCCGGTGGTTGCACACATGGTCGCATACATCAATCAATTCTATATAGTAAAGTTAAATAAAATTAGCGGGAGCGTATCTCTGCTACCTTCAATCATATGGTTAATTCATTATTTATTATTTATTTTGGTTAAAAAGTGATTTATTAGGCCGCACGTATAGTCCCCTCTTGTCGTTAAAGACATTATTACTTGTGTAAAAGACTTCTAATCGCACTAAACTCTAAAATTAATGTCTCCAAGAAGCGTCAGAACTTATAATACATATCAAGGAAGGTCACCCTTCTGATAACATTAAGAATATATATTACCGTTGTTACGTTCAATATGTGTGACTTATGCAGTTAATGTTAAAAAGTTAATTCTTTTAATTTAATTAGCATCCAGAATGGATCTGCCGGCAACTCAAATTTGTTATGATTATGATGACATGCCGACTCAAAAGATTGAACAGCCCATAGAAAAGGAACATAATGTGCAGGTAATCAACAAAGATTTACTTATTTTCATTCGAATTCGAATAAATAATGAAAAATGTTTTAGGTTGCCGTATTGACCGTCAATTCTAGTTCATATCCCATTTATAAAGGTATTAGTAAGATAGGACGACATCCGGATTGTAATGTTATTTTTAACGATCAGGTATTCCTTAAATTAAATAATCTAATACTAGTGTAAATAATTTTTATACATTTAATCATATCAAAAAGATTATTGAGCGCGTTTAAAGCTGTATGAAGGACCGTTTTAATATAGAGTACATCTATTACAGAGTATATCGAAATATCATGCAGAGATAGAAATAAATACGTCCCCAGTGAATGCTTGGATATGCGATCTGAATTCTTCGAATAAAACAATACTCAATAATGTAAGTCGATTGAGTATTTTTATTAAAAAAAAAATATATATATATATATTATTGCTCGTGTAGATAAGCGTTAGCACGGATTTCTAAAAGAAGTGTAATTATTACGCGCATGTTTCTCCATTGAAATAATTACAAATTTCATCGCGTTTGAATTACTTAAAACGATATACCACCTTTCTTTCAGATTGTTTTACGGCCTACGCGTTATTACGAATTAAGGGATAACAGTACCATTGAATTTGGCAGAATAAAAGCGATTTATAAGACGTGCCGTTTAGAAAATGATTTTGTCATCCCCGAAACACCTCTACAGTATAAACAAAAGAAAATAACACCTATAATTCCAGAATCGCCAGATTCTTTATCGGTAAGAATGATCTTAATATAATGTCAATCTAAATAGGATATAAATTATTTTTTTGTTATTTTATTTTAGAATAATTCGTCAGTTATTAACGGAGATGATTCGACGATTGCGACAGTGCCGCAAGAATGTCTCAGTAAATCTATTTGTTTGCGGCCATTTATAAATCAGGAAAAATCGCAAAAGATGTTGAAAGGCAACGGCAAAGATAATAACGTTGGTACGTTGTCGGATTCGATGCAGGACGTTAATAACGATGAATCTATCGTTGGCCAATTATCCGATAAAAATAAAAGGAAGCAAACTTTCGAAGGGAATTTTAATGTCAGCACGTGCGAACAGAATGATCCAAGTACAAGCTGCGAATCGGATGATATATTTGAAGCGGCTACGCAACGCATTGACATTGATTTGGATTTGGAAAGTGTTAAAAGTCTATCACCGTCGAAAGGGAGAAAGACCGATGACGGAGATGTTGATATCGAAGGTGGTACGACTCGAAATATATCCAACGCACGAAATATATCAAGTACTCCGATAAAGAAAACGAATCGAGTTGAAGAATTGAAAAAGATAGAAAACGATATTGCATTGGCGACTAAGTGCATTCAATCGAGAGAGATTAAAAATAATAAAGGGGAGGAAAATAAAGTGGAAAATGGGAATGATATCGACGATTTCGATAAGTTAAAAACCCAATTGGTATGCTTACCTGATTTTATTAATGACGCAAAGAAAAGAAAAAGCGACGCGGGAGGGGAAAGCGACGATATCGATGATATTGATACGTTGGATACCCAAATAATAGATTTTTCAGATTCAAATCGTGGCACGAATAATGCAAGGACCTGTGAAAAGGTGGACGACATTATCGATATTGATTTATTGGATACGCAACCATTGAGTAAAATCCATGCGGTCGGCACGTCGTCGTCTACGGCACCCAAGGAGGTCGCTCAACAATCGAATTCATCCAATAATGTTAGTATAGAAGATATCGATTATGAGACGGCATCCACCCAAATAATCGAAGAGATGGAAATATTATCGAATACGCAAGAGGATAATAGGATTAAAAGTACAGATAAATCTAAAAAGAGCAAGCGTAAAGTCAATCTTACCGATAGTCTCGAACAGAAATTAAACGATATGTTCGACGAGGTTAACGACGAAGAGATAAACGATACAACGATGATATCGACTCAATGTCTTGAAAATATTTTAGAGGTATCCCGGTGTAATAACGTTTCAACGTTTGACAAAGATTTAAATAAAAAATTGGCCGAATCAGGCCGACGAACAACGTCGGCGGATTCGCAGGACGACGAGGTATATTTCGGTGGACTTGTTTCTAAAAGAAAACGAAACGTTCTTGCCGATTCTCAAGAAATTGTTCGTTCAAAAGTTTCGACTAATAATCGCCGCGGGACTAACAGAATTTTAGCCATCGAACACGTAGAGAGAGATTTATTGAATAGCTTCGAGGTTTCTTCGAGCGTTACTTCGAAGAAAAAGAATGTCGGCGAACGTACGGAAACGGCAAAATTGTCAGACGACGATATCTTAACTCGATTGCCGGAAGTTAATATATCCGGTACACTTTCGGATCCAAACGCTCGCAGGTCGTTGGTTAAGCAAACCAAATCTACGCGTCGTACTGATAATAAAAAGATCGTCAAAAATTTGGACACACCCAAAGTCCGGGAAACGAGATCTAGCATTAATAAAAACGTACCCGTGACAAAAGTGAAAGATGTCGATTATGAAAATGTAAAAAGAATGGCCGAGGATTTGATTTCCAACAGGGATAATAAATTGAGTCGTTCTATGGTAGTAGGAATGGCTAAAAGGGGGACAAAAGTAAAGAACGTAAAGTTAACTGATAAGCCATCGGTTAAAAAAATAACTAAATTGGATAAGGTAGAAAGAGAATCCGAAAATATTTTAACTTATGTAACCGACCAAGTCCCAAGGAGAAGGAATACTCGATCTATGAGCTTGGCGGACTCCAAAAAAGAGATCGAAGAACGTCAAGCGAAAGATAATAATAATAGGGGAAACGATAACACGTCTAATACCGATCTAATAATGGGAGAGGAGTCGCAAGAGGTTGCAATGATTATGAACGTTTCCTCGATTGTCGAGCCAAGAAATATTCGAAAACGTAAAGTAGCTAATCTAACGAATTCGGACGATGATACGTTAAACGTCAATAACGTAATGTCCCGTAAAGGTAAAACGAACGATGCGCTATACGAAGCATCTAAATCGCAATTTAAACGAATTAAATCTGGTCGAAATAATTTGTCGCAATTGTCCGTTGATTATTCTATGACGGATGATTCGTCATTGATCGTTGCGAACGAAGATGATTCTGCGATATCATCCAATGTTCGGTCTACTCGTTCGACGCGATCGAATACGGAGAAACGAAAAATTGATAATAATACGAGTAGTTCAAAGAAAACGGAAAGGAAGAACGATACTTGGACGGATAGAGAAAATAATACGAAAACTCCAACGATACCTTCAACGCCTGCAACACGTAGAAGCGTGTCCTTTTCAAGCCTGAATACCTCGTCACTTTCTGCAAAAGAAAAAATTCTTTTTACCGGTATAGCGGATGACGAATATGCTAAAGTATTAAAAATATTAGGTACATGTAACTTTTCTTTCTTAACATTTTCATGATAAATATAAACACAATTGCATACAACTGACTAATTCATTCAGGATTACACTATTATTATTATTATTATTATTATTATTATTATTATTATTATTTTGTTAATTTCTCTCTCTCTCTCTCTCTCTTTTTCTCCCTCTCTCTTTCTCTCTGTCTCTTTTTCTTTTAGGCGGTACAAAGGTAGAAGATCCTTCGAAATGTACCGTATTGGTTACAGACAAAATACGTAGGACAATTAAATTTCTTTGTGCATTAGCAAACGCAGTGCCGATAGTATCTGTAAATTGGTTACATGAGAGCAAACGAGCTGGCCGTTTCTTAGATTGGGAAAATTATATGTTGAAGGATCCAGCTATGGAAGCAAAGTATGGATTTAGATTAAGAAAGAGCTTGGATAAAGCTAGAGAAAGAAAATTGTTAGATGGTTATGTGGTTTTGTTAACTCCAAATATATTATCACCGCCTATATCGGAATTGAGAAGTGAGTTTCTCTCTTTTATTTCCTTTTTTCATTATATCTTGTGCTATACCGAAAATACGAATAAATTCAATTATTTACATTTTATTCATTTCTTTTGTAGCTATGATCGCATCGTGTGGTGGCAAAGCTTTATTACGACCATCTTCGAGATTGACAGAAAAAACAATAATTATAAGTCATCAGGATGATTTGGATAATGCGCGAAAATTGTTATTAAAAGTACCTAAAAGTGTAACGATACAGTCTACCGAGTTCCTTTTAATTGGTATTTTAAAGCAAGAATTAGATTTCGTTCGACATAAATTAATTTAGCTCGTCGGTGGTACCCATGTTATTATTATAATGAAAGTTTTTTTTTTCTTTTACTACGCAATACGGACATTTTCTGTATACTCTCAAGTATTTTAATGAAATCATTTATATCATCGTTATAATAATTTTACTTAAGCAATATAGATGCAAATGTTTGTGTATAAATAAATATTTTGGAAGATAGTCAATGGCAAAACCAATGGGTTTTGGTGGAACGTTAATTTTTCGCTATAAAAATAAGCGGATGTAATTTATATATTTCTTACTTATTATTATTATTAACATGGATCGTTACCAAACGCGATGTATATCCCATATATAATTCATAAAAAGTGAAGAAATTCTTTTCCACATATGTAATATTTTCTACCGTGTAGTTCATATTTATAAATAAATTAAATTTATAACCTAATAACGCAAAGAGTGATGCAACATTTAAAAAGATATTCCATTTTATTAGTTTTTATTTTGTTTTATATCAATTGTTACACTGATCTTAACGTAATATAACACACTTAAGTATCAAAGATTTTTCATAATATAAGGGAAAAAAATAAAACTTATTGATATACTACGTTGTGAGTAATGATTTGACGAGAAGTAACGACGAGCTAAGAAAATAAAGCTCATGTTGTTTCGTTTAATGTTCAAACGAGAACCCGCTGCTCTACAAAAGAGAGAGCACCAGCAAAGTTTCAAATCGCAACTATTTCGTATCTTTTCGTTTTTTTTTTCTTTTTCTTTTTTTTTTCTTTTTTTTTTCTTTTTTTTTACGAACGAATCAATGGTACGTACGCAAACGATGTCGATCGTTTACGCTACTCCGAGCGTGAATATGGTCAACGATCTTGATATACCATAGAAACTTCATCATCTAGTAATAATATATCTTCCCTAGAAGTAGCCCGAATAAGAGGAAAGAAAAAAGAAACTTATGTCATAAACTATCAATCGAAAATCTATTCCGATATCACTATCTTATTAATAATTTTATTGCGAATGAGAAGTCATGATCGATGAATAAATGCATTTGTCGACAACGTTTTTATTTATAGCTGAGAGTCCGTATATCCGGATGGAAGTTGAGATGAGATTATACTTCCACGGAAGTGCGGCCGTCAATGTTAAAGAGACCTGGAACGAACGCAAACAAAAGAATATAAATATAAATACGTGTGTGTGTGTGTGTGTGTGTGTGTGTATACATGTATATACAAGGAGGGCATACAACGTGGTATACTCGCCGCGTAAAGCTTTCTTTTTCATCAATTTGTTACAACTAACGACGTACTAAATTAGTACGCTATAAAAGTAAGAGAATTCATTGAAAGTTTTCTTTGAAAATGTTGGGCGTAGAATAAGCGAATGCACTTAAAATGGCTGCCGCGTTAAGAAAAGTAAGACGCAATACACAGAGAGAGGATCGATTTATTAATTTTTAACGGTAGAGAATGTAAAAGTCATTGCGTAATATTAGAGACAATATTTCTCGAAACTAACGTTGAGAAAAAGTAATGTGATTCTGGAATGTGTCATTCCGACGGGGAGTTAAAAAAGAAAAGAAAAAGAAAAGAAAAAAAAGAAAAAAAAAGAAAGAAAAATAAGACGTTATCGAGGGAAGATGTGACAACAAGATATACAACGATTGATCGTACACGTAATATACGTATATTTATGTATATGGAATAAGAGAAAAATTGAGGACAAAGAATATAAAATAATATTTACCAGAATCTATTTACGCTTTGGTCTTTCCTTGTTGCCTTTTGTTATGTTCGGAATTCATGAGCTTCGTTAAGATCTTTCTGGAATGGCCGCTCGGATCGAAATGATTGGTATGAGCGTCGGCTTCGCGTTTTGATCGTTGTTTGCCACCGTGACCGGTGAAAATGTGCTTGTCGTAATCGTAGTTGAAGTGCTCGTATTCGTCGACGTAGTAATTATCGGACATAGTTTCTGCTTTTGTTGTATCACACAAAAGAGGACTTTGAAAAGTGCGTAATAGCGGAGACTCCAAGGAGAGAGAGAAAGAGACTGGAGAAAAAAAATTCCACCGCCCTAGACACGTTGATCGTACCGAGTCTACGCTCGATTCGATACTAATTTCTATGACGTTCTTGCGAGTCCTCTTTTATAGGATACGCTAGAACGTCTTTGCGCATGCGTGATTCGCAGTAACGTATAACATCATAACAGAGCCCTGTCACTTTATTTCTCTTTCGTCATTTTCATCGTAAAACGACTAGAGAATAGATTATCGTGTTCGCCTGAAGAATCACTAACGTGGATTTATGTGAAAAAACGAGAGAATAAGTGTGTGTGTTTGTGTGTGTTGTGAGAGATTTAATCGGTTTAATTAGGGAAAGAAAATTTCTCGATACTTTTTATTCGCATACAATTCGAAGAGAATAGGTGCGCTAGTGTCGCTGTTGTTTCCACACGGATACGTAGCGATATTTATCATCCTATATGCAATATCGTATTTCGCATATACACGTATGTTCCCTTTTAATTTGCGATCTTGTCAAAAAAGATGGTATATTTGTTCGATTATAGGAAAATCTATAATCTTATATATAATTCGATATATTTTCTTTTTTCCTTTTTTATCAAGTACGATTATTTGAGAAACATTAGTAAGTTACGCGTCGAGATTCTTTTATCCTTATCGAAAGTACAATGCGTATCATATACGTATTCATATCCCACACGTATCTTATCCCACTACGCATGGAAAATTCTAGTATATGAAGTCTCTTCTACAAATATTTCTTTTTATCCGTAGTAATACGTAAATGTTGCATCACTATACATACGCTTTTCTATCGATTCAATAATCGTCGTACGAAGATAATTTCGTTCGATAATACGTTCGAACTTTATTCGTTTTCATTGAGAATATAACAAAAAATAGAACGTAATTTTTATTTCTTTCTTCAACGAAATTCGATATAGGTATAGCGTAGAAATATTCCAATGTCGTTTGGAACGAAAAGAATGATTAAAAAGAAAGAACACAAAAATAGATTGTATGTAATACGTTACGAATTGGAAAATATCCGGACGCTACTGCAATTCATCGATCGTTCCTTCTTCCCGCCGATGGTTCGAATTTACGCGGCTCTTCGAATTGATTGACTTCCGGTGGAACGCAAATTTTTGTCAAACAAGTTCGAGGTTATATTATAAAATGGAATTGTAATATAACGATCGTTGGACCGACAAAAAGAATCGACAAATAGTTATTATAATTTTATCGAACGACATTAACTCATTTTGAATAATGACTATCGTAAAAATATTTCTCCAGATGTGACATTATTTAACGAGGTATACATATGGGTTTAATTCATTTCCATATAATGCTAAGAAAATACAATTAATCTCGATTATCATGCAAATCATTCGAAAGGAAGCACCGAGGATGAGAGAAGATTTACTAATTAACTTCTGTCGCGTGGAAATATGCCCAAGATCCTTGACCATACGTATAGTATAGATTACACATGAAAGGTGCGTAAAAGACATTTGTTATATTTCAGCAATGGCATGACTAATCGACACGCGCGAACGATACTATAATAATATTATTATTTACATTGAAAGATCGAGATAAGAGAGTGTCACAACGCAATTCCCGTTTTCAAGCCCAAGGCCGAAGTACTTCGAGTCATATCTTAATCCTCGTGTACGGGCTAAATTATTATCTTCGCAAAACTTCTGACAACGATGACGATCGGTATACAAAGTCCACCACTTTTCTCCTTCTCTCTTCTTCAACTTTATTTGCGGCAAATTTGCTCCCTGAGACGAGAAAGGATAGCGATTTCTCTCTGCGTGAATCATAATTAAAACGGATTGGTAGATAAAAGGAGAGGGACGTGTTAGAGAGAGAGAGAGAGAGAGAGAGAGAGAGAGAGAGAGGGAAATGTGCACGTACACACAGAGATTGCGTGTAGGGAATACCGTTAATCGATCTGCTTCGATCGGGGAACAAAGACGTTATAACCGTGAAACGATTAAACACTACGAAAACTGGTTTGACCAAGATAAACGGACCGTGCGTCTTACGAGTATATACAAATCATACAATTTACGTGGCATAGGAATCGCAAGTAATTCTCAATCGTACTGATAGATGCTATGAAGGAGAGCTAATTCAGAAGTAGACGCAATCGAGGTGGGAAGGAATTAAACGGCCTCGTTTACTGTGGTGACCTTATGCAAAAGAAATGGTAAAAGCCATGCATTCATCGTTAACGAACGCATCGGGCGCAGGTGTAAACGAACAAATGACGTGTCTCCCAAAGTCGCCAGAAAAAAAAGAAAAAAAGAAAAAAGAAGGAAAAAAAAAAAGTCTCCGGTCGAATTATCCATAACGTTATTCGTACTTCTTCTTTCATCCTCTTTCATTTTTTTTTCTTTCTTCAAAACAGGAGACATCATCGCCAGCAGCTCATATTTATTTTTATCAACTTCGTACAAGTATATTCATTATTTTTTATGCTCATTGGAGAAACAACAACGGTCGCAATTGAATTTCATTTGTACGATGCTGACCGTTCGGTATATAAACTGTTGTTAAAGAATTTTCTCTTATGTCAATGTTAATTCAAATGGATCAAACTCGTGATATATTTATAGAAAGAAATAGCAATCGACAGGAGGACGATAGATAACGAAGATAGTGTGTAAAACTTTTTATTGGAATTGGCAATAATTTTATTAGAAAACGACTCGTGCGTTTTCTCTTTTTCATGACAAAAGTACTGCGCGAGTTTGTTCGTTCAGACGATCGTTCAATCGATCCCATAAACATCGCCACACTTTCGGTAGTCCGCATTCGCATAGATGGTACCGTTATGGCAAAAAATTACGCATACCACGCTACCGCGTTCCCTGTAACGTGAGGTTTTGTATCCCAAATTCTTCAGACCGTCGATCACCCGTTTGGGTATACCATACTCGTAAGCCACTTCGCCCGGGAACAGCTGATGATGTATTCTTGGGGCATCGATGGCTTCCTTAACTGTATTTCCCATCCATAGAATTTTAGCGATCACCTAGGAAAAAGTTTTATTCGATTAAATTCCGTTTTATCTTCGAGATAGAGGCGCTGACTCTTTATCGCTTTACGACGATCCGATAAACGGAGCGGATTACGAGAGAAACCCTATTATCGTACCTGAGAGACAGCTGTCGTGATTTTAGTCCCACCGGAAGCACCAACGACCATCTTAACGTTTCCACTTTCATCTACCAAGATGGTAGGTACCATCGAGGACATGGGCCGTTTTCCAGGTTGTATATAATTGTTAGGACTGGGCGGAACCCCGAAGTAATTCGTTTTCGATGGTATCCCAAAGTCGTCCATTGCGTTGTTAAATAGAATACCAGTTCTCTCGCTCGTCACTCCGCTTCCGAAGCTATAAAAAAAATTAATAATTACAGATAATTCGGATAGAAAATTTTTTCGTCGATATTTATTATCGAAAGAAACGAAGCGATATGGATGTTATTAGTACGAACTAATAATTGATCGTGCTGGTAACCGATACGGCATCACCGTTTTGCGCTATAACCGAAAGATGCGCTGTCCCATGATCCTCGGTACCGACGTCGAACGAAGCCCCATAATGTTTCGGATCGCTCCAAGTCTTAGTGTCCTCTATCTTCATTCTTATTTGATTCGCATAATCTTTCGACGTTAAATTATTGTTCAACTGTAAATAACGATATATCAATCAGCATTGGATCGAAGGAAAATTTCTTTTTCGTATATTATATACTATTACTTATATATAAGAACCGTACTTCCGTCATATCCACAAAATCCTTATCGCCCATGTTACCTCGTAAGGCATAGGCGTATTTGTAAGTTTCTAACATTCTGTGATAGGTTAGGATTGTCGAGTTGAAGTCCGACAGACTGTTTGACGTAAATCCGAAGCCATCGAAAACGTTGAGAATAAAATCGAGCAAGCTTCCACTTCCCGGTGCTCCTGGGGTAAAAAGTTTTATTCCATTGGAAAATTCTGCCTCGATTGGTTTCTCCCACGTAGCACTGAGAAATATAACTCTGTTGTTAATAGAGAACTCTTCCACGATCGTCTGTGTGAGAACTCCTATTTACGTACCGATATGCGTTGAAATCCTTCATGGTGATGATACTGCCTCTTTTTTGCAAATCCTCGGTGACCATCTCACCGAGTGTACCATTGTACAATACCGAGGCATTCTCTTTAGCGATTATTTTTAACGTCTCACAGAGCGTTTTCGGTTTTACGATCGAACCGATCTTGATGAATTTGTTTGTTTTCGGATCGACGAATAGTCTCCTAATAGATTTAAGGATATATCATTTTAAATAATCATCGTAAGAATGATCGCCGGAAGTGACTTACTTCAAGGTAGGATCCGTGTGAATATTCTTTTCGTTATATCCAAACCCATCGTACTGGATCTTGGATAACGTGTAACCTTTTTCACACAGTTCTATACTTGGTTTGAACAGATCTGCCCATGGTAATTTGCCAAATCTTCGATGGGCTTCCCCGTAACCGGCCAATTCACCGGGTACGGCAATGGAAAGGGGTCCTAAAATAATTTACAATAATACGTCGTAGTAACGTAGACGCTACTTCATATCTTTCTCCGTTTCTTTTCTTTAAGATGAAGATAAGTCCATATCGAGATAACGCTGTACTTATAATGAAAGTAAAAAAATAGTTATACAACCAGTATAAATGTGCAAATTAAATATACAATTTAAGTAATGTTAAAAATATACAATTTAAGTAATGTTTCTTCTTGTAAAATTCATTTTTTTCCATCGATGAGCGAGTAAGAATAGATTTCGACACGTTATAAACGCGACGCGTTAGATATATGGTATATGGTAGAAGAACGCCGAAGATGATTTACCGATCGAGGAAACGTGCTCCGGTTTACCAGCGTACATAGTCGCATTCGCTAATAATGGAGCTCTATCTCTTGCGTTTAATACGTAAGCTCGGCCAGCGGCTTTATCGTAAATCGTCATGAGAAATCCACCACCTAGACCCAAGCTCTGCATGTTTACAAGACCGTTGCAGATCATAGAGGCGATCGTTGCATCCACCGCCGAGCCATTTCTTTCCAAGATATTTCTGTTATGGGGATGGGGAGGTGGTGAAACAAAAAAAAAGAAGAAACAAACAAAAGTAAAGTCGAGAAGTAATATCTCTGTACGATTTACAAATATTTCTTTACGATTAATTTAATTATAAAAAAAGAAAAAGAAACAAAAAAAAATATCCTTTTGTTCTACCTACCTGCCAATGGCGGCGCATGGCGCACCATCGGCACAAACAGCGCCGCGTTTAAAAACCCTCAATTTGCTCCAAGAAGGTGGCTGGTTGTTCTCCGGATCTGGTGGAAATAGAATCCCTTCATTTTCGCGATATCTTAAACTGTCATGGATGGCGTAAAGACCAACGGCAATGATTATTTTGAGGATCACTGCAACCACGATACCAATTATGATCACACCTTTCGTGCGAAAACGAGATCTGAAAGATTATAACCATTCATTCAGACAAACCGTTGGAGATCGAGTGGTTCGTTTAGTTTTTTTTTTCTTTTTTCTTTTTTCACGCCATATTCAGGTTGCCGACAAAACGCCATATCGTGTTACATTTCCAACGTTCTTTCTTTCGTTTCTTGTTTTTCCTCGCCATATCTTTATTAGCAGAAAAAGACCAGCGCCACGGTACGTTGGTACGACTATAAAAGACTTTAGACTTTAGACTTTAGACCATCGAAAGAGTAATCTTCAGTTCCTCAACGTATTAGCTATCGAGTTGACTGTCGTCTCGTGCATCTCACAATCAGAGTATGTAATCTTTATATTATTATTTCTAAGTCATTATTATCTCCTTCTACTATTTATTATTACCAATAATTGCTCCATCGTTATTCTTTCCATCTTCGTAAAGATTTTCAGACGATTTTGGAGAAATACAAACAATTGTCATGGAAAGTGACATATATATGCTGCAATACTAACCTTAATCTCGCAAAAAAAAAAAAAAAAGAAGAAAAATAGAGAAGTGAACGTTCGTTTAGCGCCACCCATCGTCATTTATTTCAACGATATAATTATTTACTTTGATCTATCGATCGATAAGATAGGAGATTATTTTATCCAATATATACGCAATGTCGTAAGTGAAGGAGAAAAAGTGAGTAAAGAAATTCTTCGAAAAAAAAAAAAAAGCGTGACTCACGTGTCAACGCGTAAAATCTCGAGGAATCGAGATTTCGTTTTACCACGCGAACCGTTGTACGTGGGTAAAAGTCGGGCCGTGCCGGCGTTTTCCATTTCTTGGTAATCGCATCTGTCGATATCGTCGTTCGAGTATCGTCGAGTATCGTCGGCATTTATGCAAAGGGAAGTAGTACTGGACGACGAAGTGGAAGTCATCGTTCTTCTCTGCACCGAAAAATCGGAAAATAGGAAAAATTACGTATAATTCTCTTCTGGATAATACGATCGTCCGGTAAAATACTTTTCTCACTACCTGACTCGACTCTTTTCAAATAACGCGCCACGGCAGCTCTCGTCCATCGAAAAACGACTTTCTTCGATGATCGACACTTAGAACGGCTACTCCGAAATAAGCGTTCAAATTCTCATTTAAGAAAAGAAGTCGAACGATCGAAAATGAAACGTTGAAAATCTTGGTACTATACCGGACGGACGATTTAGGTCGCGAGACAACTTACTCGAAATGCTTGTTTTCTCTCGAACCACTGCATTCACGGTCTCATCCTCACTTACATCCAGCTCGTTGACGTGTCGTCAAAAAATTTCGTTCCATTTCGACGAATTCAATGAGATACCTCGGCACTCGAAACTCGAAGGAAAATTTCGGGTATAAGGGAAACCGAACGAACGAACGTCGTCGGATGAGGAACGACGTTCAGGAGAAGCATCTAGTGACCTAGAAGAGAGAGAGAGAGAGAGAGAGAGAGAGAGAGAGAGAGAGAGAGAGAGAGAAAGAGAGAGAAAGAGAGAGATCAGCTGACCGTGAAAAATCGAACCGAGCATGCGTATGGCTGGAACTTGCGTTACAATTTCTCTCTCTCTCTCTCTCTCTCTCGCGCGCGCGCGCGCTCCACGCCGACACGTGGAGAGAATACATGCTTTGTATACAAGACGAGCAAGTAGTCTTGTTAGTCCACTAACTAACGATAAGCCGGGTTATAACGCTTTGCCGAGAGAAGCTAATTAAATTCAATTACATTTCGTTGTAACTTTAATGTATCCTTTAATCGGCATATTTAATCTTCGATCAAGATCGAAGTTAAAACTTTGGAATGATTCGACTTAGTCATTCGTATAAATAATCTGAAATAGTTTGAAACGAAAAGTCAATGGTTTCGTCGACTTTAATGAACTGGCAACAATAATAAACCCACGTCGGATATGACGAAAAAAATGCAAATTGATACGTGTCCAACGAACGTTCCTTCCCAAAATTCTTTCTCATTGTTATTGTCGTTGTCGAGCTCTTATACGCGAGTACGTGCCTCTATGCTTCGAGAGGGAAAAAGAGAAACGAAGGAGAGGGAGAAAGAGAATGCGGGTTCGTCAACCTGTACGACCGTTCCACGGCCGTTCCACGATCGTTCTACGATCGTTCCACGATCGTTTCTCGCGTCGTGACGAGCCTGGTAAATGAATGTCGTCCTCTCTCTCTCTCTCTTTCTTTCTTTCTCTCTCTCTTTCGCGCGCGCGCGCGCGCGCGAATAATCATTTCTCCTTCTTCGACGAATGATTTTTTTTTCTTCTTTATCATTCCGAAGATTCGAAAAGACTACTCTCTCGTCGTCTACTACTTTCATCTTTTATCTTTTCTTTTTTCCCTTTTTCTTCTTCTTCTTCTTCTTCTTCTTCTTCTTCTTTTCATTTACGAAGGAACCGGTTGGATCACGTTCGAGAGAAATAGACGTTTCTCCTGGATTTTGCTAGACGCTGAGAATTACTTGGTTCATCGTAAAAAGAATGTTCTCTTTTTTACAATTTTTGAGCTACAACGAATATCCTATCATCGAGTAATTCATAAATTGCTTACGTAACGTCATTGCACGTTACCCTATCGTGTCTTGTAATAATTGAAAAGATAGTCATTGGGACTGCACGAGTAGAAGGGTACGCGATACCTATTTTATTGCCCTCGATTTCGTTCGATATTTTTTCCTTTGCAAATCTGGTCCAAATTGACCGATCAAAAGTATTCCATTCGTTTATATGCCTATGTCTATATCTATATAGTTTGTCTTTTTAATTCTTACCTTTAGCGACGATGGGTCTACGAAAGGAAGAACGATAGGTTCTATAGTTAGATTTACGACGTTTCGCGCGAATAGAAATAAAATCGTAAACCGCGTTAAAGAATAGAAATATCGTAGAACTTTGTTACCTTGGCTCTTGCGGTGGTTCGAACGTACACATAAGGCTGCTCCTTCTTGCCATCTTTTCTTTTCTTTCCTCCTTCTTCTTATTATTTTTCTTTTCTTAAACTTCTTCTCGTTCGGTCTTTCTCACTTTGACAAATTCGGCTAATAGTCTCTCACAATTCTCGTTTCTCTTTCGAACAACGTACGTTCACCGTACTTATCACCGGTATCACGAGTTAATCGAGTCAACGCTCGAACGAACGATGATTTTCGTTACGCATGACGCTCTCGTTCAAACTCTTTCGGACCGTTTTCGTGCGTCGACTAATTATCATGTATGAAATATTATTGCAAAAACAATCAATGTAATAGTGGCTACTCGGGGTGTACTCGTTCGTAAGAGAAAGGATCTGAGAGAGAGAGAGAGAGAGAGAGAGAGTAATAAAAATAGTATCGCTAGAATTCGTCGCGTTAAATTTTATTATACCGTCGAAGAATAGAAAAGCATAAGCAAGTGCTTATGATCTCCTTCAAATTTATCCGTCTTACGAACCGATCGATTCAAATAAAAAACACTCGCGAGAGCAATAACGAGAGAATTAACGAAAAATGATTTTCTTCTTGACAATGGGAAAAACAAATGAACAAATTTTTCCACCGTTTTTATTTCTTTTCTTATTTTTGACCGGACTAACGAAAGAGAGAGCGAGAGAGAAAGAGAGAGAAAGACAAAGAGAAAGAGAGAGAGAGAGAGAGAGAGAAAAAGAGAGATGGCTTTATGGCATTAATCGCGAGGCCCGATCGAGCATAGCTTTCTCGAAAAGCATACGATCGTCCCAAATGTCGGCGCCACACTGAACCGGTTCATCGTTTGGCGACAGCGAATAGCCACGTATACAGACAGGTAATATCTCCGAGTCCGAGAACCAATCCGCGGCGCTTCGCGTTCGTCAGGATTCATTCATGAAGAAAATCGTTAAGAAACCAACCGTTCGTCAACCGTTAACGGCGAACGCTCTTTCCTTATTCTTTTTCTACTCAAAAACAATGCAATTGACATTACAATTCGTTCGTTCGAAAATCAAATTCGTTAAAAAACGACTCCATCCTTTTATTCAACATTTTACTTTTTTTTTCTTCTTCTTCTTTTTTAACCGATCCAACGGGAAACGTACCGACGACGGATTCGATTCTATGACCACAGCGAGATAATTGCAACGAATAATAGCTCCGAGCGAAGCCATTAGGGGAAGCGAGAATAATGAACCACTTGCGACGCGTCTCGGTACCTTAAGTCCGTTTATAGCAGAGACACAATTTCTATTTCTCTCTCGCTCTATCTCGCTGTTCGATACAAGCACGGCGCTTCGTTGATTTTTATTTCGAAAAAGTCAATACTCCCGACTCTCCTTATCCTTCCTCTCTCTCTCTCTCTCTCTCTCTCTCTCTCTCTCTCTCTCTCTCTCTCTCTCTCTCTCTCTCTCTCTCCTCTCTCCTCGTTGTAATGCTTTTTACAAAGGGGAATGGGAAAAGAAAGAGAAGATGTATCCCAAACGATTTCGATTTTGTACGATTCTGTTTCTCTTCTTTTCTTGTTTTCTTTTTTTTTCCTTCCACCGCCATTTATAATCTAACATTATACATACAGATGTTATTTTTCTTCGTTATTATCATACCGCGATCGTCGATTAATTAACGATTAGATAATCGATAATCGATAATCAAGAGTAGGGATACGCATAACGATTCGCAGACAAGGATTTTCAAACGCCAAACTCAATGATTCGTAATACCGGATGGGAATGGAGTAGAGGAGAAAGGATTAGCTCGCGTAAGATTATTCGCGAATACCTACTCGTTAGGTATATCGTGTCTCTGAACGAACGAACGTCTAACACTAACTGGTACATTGCAAGAGTAGCAGCTTTGGCGATATCGTCGTTCGTTCTCGTCGCGCTTAATTGGACCAAGAAGCGGATAATACTTTCGTCGTAGAACGTGTGTCTACTGACCGGGAGATCGGAAACTGCCGGACGCGTTTCTTCTTCCGTTTCTCTCTCTTTTTTTTTTTTTTCTTTTTTTTTTTTTCTTTTACTTTCGAGTCGGAAATATTCGTTCGAAAATAGAAGGAAAATTTACTCGTTTCGAGTCGCTTCGTTATTATTCGCTACCGTAACAATGGAATATAAACGAAACATCGTCGATCTTTCAAGGTATTTGATGGATTTCGCAGCTAATTATCTTATTCTTATTACTAATATTATCTACTTGTATGTACAGTCATATATATCCGACGGAATTTTTCAATCTTCTGCGCCAAAGTACAGGACGTAGAAATTTTCTAAACTCAAGATCCTGTACTCGTGATAATTTTTTTTCTTTCTTTGTTTCTTTCGCCCGGAACGAAGAAGGGACCGTAACCCGTCCTATCTCTCGTAGTCTGGCGCCAACTTGGCGCGTCTCTCGGCCACGGCACCGTAGAACCATTTTCCACACGATGAGACATTTTTCTGTTCCCCCCCCCCCCCCCCCCCCCCAAGACAAACCTTACGTCTCGAGACTTTTCCAATCATCGTGTTCTATCATTTTCGTCTAGGCACCGTAGTCACAGCTCTTAGAGGATCCTCCCGAAAAATTCTTCCCGGTCTATAATCTACTAACATGTCGGGTCTTCCCCTTTTAATTTTTAAGGACTTGTACTTAAATTCTTCTTTACTTACTCGCCGATCTCGCTTATCAAAACGTGCATCTTTATTTCTAATCCATCCTATTTATTCCTTCGGCTAGTTTTGCTTAAAAAAAATAATCGAATGGGTTCGTATTCTTGATTTTATACGGAACGTTCGCGGTAATATAATAAAGCCTTTTCCTTATCACTCGCTCGAGTTTCGCCGATTTGATGTATAGACTCGATTATCGATATTAATTGAAATCGTGTCGCGAGTCGACCAAACTCGATAAAGACCTAAACTAAAAATAATTTCAACGCGAGAGACGTTAATAGACGGACATTTGATTTCGCGGTAGTTGCGATCGATAATATCGAGTAAGAAGCATAAAGAAAGAAAAGAGGGAAGGAGAGGGGGACAATAAAATTTGCTCGTCTACTCTTTGCGGACGGAATATCTAGAAATAGAGTTGGTTATATAGCGCTCTTTGGAACTATTATGTATTCTCAAAACTTGAAAATTTTCATCGTAAAATCATTTTTCTTTTTCCTTCCTTTTCCCTTTTCCTCTATTTTTCTTTTCTTTTTATTTATTTATTTCATATTTTTCATAGACTCGCTGTAGGAACGTATCGGCGCCACCTTCGTTCTTTCTTCGGTTAAATATTAATAACTACGAAAAAAGTCGAACATTACATTTATGCCGATGATTTAGGTCGACGACATCCATGAGTTTCTCATTAACACGTAATTCTTATCATTTCGTTTAACGATCGACCGAGCAAATACAATTATAACGAAACTCTCTTTTGGCTTAACACGAAATGATTATTTTTTAAGTCATTACGAACGTTGTTACAGCCAGTTAACATGTGTGTGTGTAAATATATATATATATATATATATATATACACATACATACATACATACATATACATATATTAGGTGTCATTAAAAGATTATTAAGGGACTAATAGCACGCGATAGAAGGATCGTTTGACCTTGTGCCAAGCGATTGCCTCGAACATCGATCAGACGATGTAATATCAAGATAGCGTCTAAAAATGACTCCTCTTCTCGAATTCGTCGGATAGGGAACGATGTCTCTACGTTACTTAAACTACGAAGTGGTCAATGATTTGGAACTTTCCAATAGCTATTGTTTCTCCTCTATTGTCTTATCGTTCTCTGATATTCGAGTCGATTACGTGGAAGGAAGGAAGAGTTCGCTATTAGCGCTTAAAACGCACCGATAATAGACGATATATACGATTTTATCAAGATCTTAAGGTAATATTCTATAATCTATTATAGAAGATCCTTTCCAATCGGAATACTTTCTCGATTAATAATCCGTCGATTGTATTGTACGTATCTTGAGACGTACTTTTTTTTCTTTTTCTTTACGAGGCGGCAGCCGTTGAAAAGAAAGAAAAAAAAAAACAAAAAAAAAAAAGAAAAGAGCAAGTATAGTGCACAATCGATCGATTAACGATTAAGCGTCTTTTCCAACAATGGTCGAGTTACCTCATGATCTATAGGAACTATAGATCGTTCGCTTTCTCTCAAACTCCTACGCGGTTCTTATTTTCTTTGCGTTCCAAACACGAGGACACACAGAGATATCGGTTTATAGTACTTTCCTCGAGAAAGTCGAGGCCATCGGGATCGCCCTCGCCTCCTCTCCCGATGCTGGACAGGAAGAAATATATCATTTCCAGAACGATATATTCGGTAATAGGCCAAAGGCGAAATTTTCGACGATTTTTTCCATATAATCGAAAGTCGATTTCTTCAAAAAACCTGTTCAATCGTAATTGAATAAATAGTATAGGTATATCGGTCCGAGCTATACGTTCGAAATATAGGATATTTGAGAAAAAGACGACTTTCGAAGAGACAACGTACGCGAGAACGTCCAACGTTTTCTCATTGAAATAAGATAAAATAAATAGGGGCGCATAGGATCGATCGACATACTATTTTCAGTTATGCGAGAGCGAAACGAATAACGATGTTTTTGTGCGTTAAGGAATATGTGGGTTGCGATTAAACGGATACGCATTCATTCTCCTCGTATCGTTCACATTGAATTCGCCATTTATCATCGTCGATCAGTCGATAACTATTCTGCCGGTCTTTACAGTTCCGTCTTTAGCTCCAAACCTGGACGAATCGGGGGAAAAAAAATCGCGGGATTTACGGATGAAACGATCTATCCAATAAGAGTGGCCTCATTTGTGCCGCCACGTCATCTCGATCTTCGGACACGTCAGAATTATCCCCTTGCTTTATTCTTCTCCTCCTGCGAGATGCTCCCGACTTTTCTCTTTTCTTCGATCTTTTTTCCTCGTCCTTTCGACCAATTTCTTCCTCTCCCCTTTTTCCAATCACCTCTTTCGTTTCGATCTCTTCGACGCTGCTCCAACTGTTCTCGCTCTCGCTTTGATTCCTCTCTTCATTTTTCCTCGATCCCTTTCTCATCCTCGTATCAATATCCTCCTCTCCGTCCTCCTGCGTGTAGATCATACAGATTTTTAATGTACTGCATGATATGCATCGTGATATTTAAATGATTCGTTCAAAGTTAAACTCGCTAGCCGAACATTTGCGGCAACGAACATTGAACCAACTCTCGGCTGATCGCGTTTTACATAAATACCATATGATATCATTAATATACGTATATGCGTACGCGTATGCGTATGTAATATGGGAATCGTTCCGTGTGCTTTTTCCCTTGGAAGAGGGAAGAAAGAAAGAAAGAAAGAAAGAAAAAAGTTGGATCGTAATCGGTCGAATAGTCGGGAGAGTCGTAAGAAGAAACGAGATCGATTCGACGACCTCATACGTATCTCCTCCTGGTCTATTCTTTTTTTTTTTTCTTCTGTTCTCAAAATCGATTGGAGTGGTGAACGAAACGAACAGAAGGAATGATATTTTACTTACGAACATTTGCGTCTTGATCGGTAAAGTCGTCGTCGTCGTCGTCGTCGTCGTCGCTGTGTTATCCGTCGTATCGCTACTCTCGCTGTTGTTGTTGTTGTTGTTGTTGTTGTTGTTGTTATTGTTATTGTTCGGCCTGATGCCAGTTGAAAGTGAATCCTCCTCGAGAGTTCTCACGCGTATCAATCGTCGGCTCGCCGGCCAAACATCCGTCATACTTTTCAAATTATTCTTCCCCATTTTGTGAGCAACAACGCCAGTCGTCCAAACGTTTGTTTCGCTACTCCCAGTGCTACTATCGCTTCCGGTACTACAATATCTCCATCTACGTTCTTGGTAGAATCGTCAAAGAGTAGAAAATGAGAGTGAGAGAGAGAGAGAGAGAGAGAGAGAGCAGTCGGGGAAAGAAAATAATCGAGATATCCGTTGGCTGCCAATAGGCCAAGATCGACGGCAAATGAAAGTATATAATTGATCGATTTCGTTATCATTATTTATATCGTTATTACGAGAAAAATAAATGAAATGAACGGCTATGTTCTACTTGTAAATTTCATCTCGATTACTCTGGTTAATTAAGAAAATGAAAAGGAAAGAAACGATATGTACTTTCGCAGGGTGGATGATGAGCCGAGTTCGAGGGATGAGATTTACGAAGAAGAGGACTCCCACCGTTTTGGCTCTCCTCGCTGCAAGCACGCGTTATAAGAATCCTTGGACTTTGTCTGGGCGTTTCGTTCATACCGATGGAACAACCAGTTCCAATCTCGTTGCCCGTTGCGAAATCGCCTCGATAATGTGGCCCCATTAGACTCGCCGCGCTAGCACTGGACCTCACCAATTTCCCAGTTTCGCCTTCGAATCGATGATCGTGAGATTTCATTTTGAACATCTTTTGAAAATGTTTTGATTCTTTACCTGATTCCGCCGATGGTACTCTAAGCGTGTTACACGAAGCCGCAGGCTGTAATCTCGTACGATGATAATTGAGATTACCGTGTTCGATGCTATTTCCCGATCTGCAGTTACCAATCGCCAATAGTGCTTCGCTAAGACGTCGTTGTAACGGAGGAAATGGAAAGAACGATCCGGTACCACTTCCCGACGGTCTTCTTGAGCCCGCCACGCTAGGCGTTCTTGCCTGTATCTCCTAAAAATTTCAAATACCACACAAAATTCAAGTGAAACACATACACGGATTCTCACTTAAGTAATATCGATTGCGTGATTTAACCTTTTTATGACCAAGGTATTTTCTCTAGAAATTTTTTGGTCGTTATTATTGGTCGCGCGCGAACGGTATACCACCGTGCGATATAACTATTTACAATTACCTGTTGCAATTCGGACTTGGTCGCCTTTTTTCGCCAATAATTTTGCACGGATCGTCTCAGAGTTTGCGATTTCAGACCGTAGAGGAGACCGTTGATCGGCGGAGAACAGGCAAGAAGGAGAGATGCCAAGGAGGCTAGTCGAGGATGCGCCTGGAGACGATCTTGATCGCCGACACCGCAGGATTCCCAAAGTATAAATCCGCAGTAGGGAAAGTACAGCAAATAGAGCGAACCAACTAGTTGCATCACCTAAAAGTTTTTCTTTTCTTCGGCTGAACGTTCCTTTTTATCTTGTCTTTTTTCTCCCTTATAATCGCGATAGTCTTGCGCGATTATAAATTTTCTTATTGGAACGGAAACGCGAAAGCGCTATTTATTATGCATATATCGGATACTGATAGAAATCGACGGATGATGGAACATGGATCGCTCTTTAAAAAGGACAATTAAAAATTTTACTTACGTTAAACTACGTTATCGTAAATTTTTAACGAATCAAATTACTTTTATTCACGTCCAATATCATGAGAAGAGCTTATGCCTAATAAATCGATAAATTAAATAACATATGAACTGGTAACATCTGTTTTTTCTAATCATACTGCGAAAATTAAAACGACGTGACGTGGCGTTATCTCGCGCCGGTAAAATATCATCAAAATGATCTTTCTCAAAGCGGTCGCACATTCCGTCGATCTAGTTCGAAAACGAACGACGAATTCGCCTAGATACCGAACTAATATCTTCGTACGCGTTTATTATTCCGGCTCGTTGTGAACAAATAACAGATAATATTCATTTTATATTCGACTTTAATACCAAACTTTATTTCTTCGATCGATTCGCTTCTCCGATACCGAGAGAGTTATATTTATACATACGGCGATAAGACGAGGACGGAGATGTCTCGACGTTTGCCCATCGAGCATCGAGAATTCGGTACTCTAGTCCGTAATAATAATAACGGAGCCTCGTTACCTCTGACCTTTGCCTTCTTCGTTATAAACGTTAATATAAATACAAATGAGTCCTGGGCATTATTGTCCCAAGGTGATACCGACTGCGGTGATATTGAATTGCACAATAATAATCCCCTTTAAAAAGATCTCATTTATTTATTTCAGATAAATGGATGAACGGTACGAATTTAAGGAGAAAAAGAGAAAAGAAGAATATACTCGCTTGTCGAACGTAATCTTTACGAGGTACTGTGTCCTTATACACACCCACACACACACACAAGGCATACAAGTACATAAATAGAAATATACGTATGTACGAACCGTGCTCGCAGCGCTATGAAAACGAGGAGGACCACCGGCCGAGGGTGCCGTGACCGTGGGCACGAAAAATGGATTTCGCTGATGGGTGATGGTCACTTGGGCGCTTAATGTGACCTCGTAGATTGCACTAGCGATACGATGCCGATGATAACGCGCTATACCGAGGACTCGCAAATTGCAGACCGTCACGAGAATCGCCGGCAATGCCAAGCCGAGAATCGCGTAAACCGCGCCGTAAAGTGCAGCTGCAGAACCCCAACTTCCGTTTCCAAAATCTGGTGCACAACAGCCTAAGCCTGGACTGTATCTATCGGAATGACGGTCGGACGATTTAGGAGGATTTTTAAGAAATCGAAAGATTTTTGTTTCTTAAAGTTTGATTGTTTTTTTTTTTTTTTCTTTTCTTTTTCCATAAGTAAAATATGTAAAAGAGAGAAGAATAATACCGATACTCTAACCTGTAAGGTGGTACCAGGCCGGAGAACGGTGGTAGAGACAAGAGAAGGGCTCCCGTCCAGGAAGCTGCCAAACCGAGGTTCACTCGTCGGGGTGATACCAGTGCCGCGTAATGCAACGGCGCGGCGATAGCGTAATATCTGTTAAAACGGAAATACCGAGTCAAACCTGAGTCTGAATATTGCGCGTTTTTATTCGCACGTTATCGATACGTCCGTGTTAAGCGTTGCGTATGTCCTTTTAATTTTCCTCGGCTTAATAAGCAATTTTAATGTTTCCGCTAAAGCGGAATTTCATTAACGTTTCATAACGTTGAAATACTTTTTTATCGATTCTTCGTAAATATATTTTTATACCGATTTCAAACAAACTCTTACAAGATAATTTTATTAAACTTTTTAAATATATTAAACATTAACTTTGATACGACCAAACTGGTATACGCATCGCTTTATAAAGAATCGAGCGAAAATGTGTCTCTCGTTATTGATAAATGGATCATCCGATCCTTTTTATTGCTACGAAATCGAAAGAGTTATTTCGAATGGTAACATTTTCTCTTGCTCTCGTTCTCTTAAAAGACCATACTCTTTCCCATTTCTTGACTGTAATGGAACGACGAGTTGAGTAAAGAAAGTTGGATAAAATAGGACTCCTTATCAACGGCAAACCGCTCTTGTGCCGATTGACAGCGTAAAAGACAAAAGGATCGGATCCACGGAATGTCATTATTGACATGTCGTATCGAAGAGTCTGTTGTCCTTTATATCGGTCTCATATGACGAGCCAATGTGCTTGAAGAATAAAACGGAGCTAGATTTATCGTTCATTAAAAGGCTTTTACGAGCGAGGTTACTATATACGATAAATTGAAAAAGCTATGATTTATGATATTTTCCGAGGAAATACCGATCAAATTATTTTCTAATATTTTACTTGAAGCTTTACCGATTGCAAATAACTCTTTCAAATGTTGTATGTATATATTTGACTTGATATTTTGAGTAATATACGCGAACGGAGCAAAAAAGAGAACGGAAAATTAGAAAAACAATCGTCGAAACTTTCTACTTGTTACTGCGAGAAACTCTTCGATCGAAAAAGCTTCTCGAACTCTATGTATCGGAAAACGCGTCGGAATAATACAAAACGACTCTATGGTAGAAAAGGAAAGGAAGAGAGAGAGAGAGAGAGAGAGAGAGAGAGAGAGAGAGAGAGAGAACGTGACAACTTCCGACGTTGACCAAGTGAGATTTTTATGGGCTTCGCGTTCGACTTCGAACGAAGCGAAAACGTTTTCGTATGGAGATAACTTTAAAAGGTATGTACGCAGGTAACAAAGATTGCCGTGTATGCGATAGATAAATAGTAGAGCAAAATTCTGCTATTTCTTATCGACGTCTATTTTTTATCGACGACAAAGAGACGACATATTATTTTGAAAGACTCACCGATCGCAGTTCAGTCCCGTGACGGTCCACAATGCGACGGGATGTAAAAGGGCTAAGAGAAAGCCATGAAATACGCACCAACTGCCGGCTATTGGCCAAGGTGTAGTAGTAAAGATCAGTAATATCAAACACACGGCTGCCTCGACCGCGCCAAGATGAATCAGTAGCAACGTATTTGCCGTTTGCTGCTGCTGCGTCTACGAAAAGATATAATCGTTATCACCATCGTTAATTATCCTTTCGACTTGATATATCAAGTCGTTATTAAGTTTACCTGTTTACCAAGACCAAGAACAACGAGCAGAACGTAGACGTTAAGAAGAAGGCCCAAAGCGCAGGCAAGGATGAGAGGGACGCCAAAGGCCCAAGGGCCCATTCCTCCCCTTTCTCCTACGTGAATTTATTTCCTCTTGGAACAGATTCTCTCTCCCCTAAACGAAGAAAACTTAAGATAAATTCTCCAAAACGAATCTCAAACGGATTCTCGTACCGAGTCCATTCCAATTATTGCGAATTGTCATATAATCGTAAGAATCCTATAGAAAAAATAATCGAAACGATTAAATTCTTCCAAAGGACCTATTTAAAACTTCCCTCGAGATACTACGGTACGGGGCAAAAAAGAAAAAAGAAAAGAGATTCTATCGGAAAGATGAATAATTTGGTTTAGGCAAAAACACCAATACTATTGGCAATTTCATTAGAGCAGGAACGAACGGAGTACAACGATGTGGTAAAAGGAGCTCTCGCGAAAACAAACCCACGCACACGCTCTCATACACACATACCATTTTCGTAATACTCCGACGGTTTAATTTGGTTAGGCCTACATTCTGGTACTTCCATTAACGACCATTAATATTCTCTCTCGCTAGTCTACGCTCTTCTAAAGTTCACTGTCTCGTTCATTGTCACATTTTTATCGTTTGTTCATCGAAACTAAGAAAGTATCGGAAGCGCAAATGGGTGAATCGTTGAATCTTCATACATTAACTCGTGATCTCGTTCGAGCAAGGGAGAGCAAAATGACGTCAGAGCCCTTACGCGAAATATTTTCCTCTTGGTCGCTTCGTGCGATACACTTCGTTACTCAGCGTACCGGTCAAATCGAATTGGGTGAATCAGGTTTGCACATTCCCAATCGAGTGTACGGATTACGTTGTCGCGTACTACGTCAACCGCACTCCGTTGAAAACCACTCCGCTCCGAAAGGACACCGAATCAAAGTTTAATCGTATTTTCCTTAATTTTTTTTTTCTTTTTCCTACCCCTCCGGCTCTTCCCTTTTTCTTTTTTTCCCTTTTTTCCTTTCATTTATACTTTTATATCTCACAATTTTCTTTTTATGCATAATTGATTATCTCGTTCATTAAAAAAAAAAAAAAAAAAGAAAAAAAAAGAAGGTAACATCACTTTAGAGCTATAACTCCTATAAGTCTTGAAAGTTTCATCAAAATCGTAAGCCAAAGGGATTTACTACGTAAGTAGATCCCTAAGTACGATGTCCTTTTAATGAACGACGAAGAATCGATAAGACGTCGATGGGATTAAGAGATCGTCGAATTGACGTATCGCAGGTCCTTTTTCTCCTTACTTTTCTTCTTGTTTCTTTTTTTTTTTTTTTTGTTTTTTTCTTCTCCTCCCTTCGCATTCGTCGTACGTCATTTTAAAAGGGAGAAACTCCATATAATAATGTCAGAAGGAGATCGAAGAAATTCTGAAACGAACTGAACTTTCTGAACTTTTGAATGGTCGTACGTCGAGGAAAAAAGAAAGAAACAAACAAAAGAAGAATGGCGTCAATCGACTCGTAAAATATTAAAAATCCTAAGCTTCGAAAGTAACGAAACAAACGGGTTAGAATCGTTGTGGTTACAAAGTTGAAAACTTGGAGGAATGCTTTTCCCTCGATCGATATCTCCTCTCGCGTTCCTTTAAACACGTTCATAATCACGTACAACTTGCAAGGTTTTACGTTCGCGCAATGCAACAAGTATCTCGACTGAATCTTTCTCAAGGTACTCTCTTAGGATTTAATCGTCGATATCAACTCGATTCGTTCGAGAAATAAGGCATCCTTCCTCAGATTGAAAAACGATCGACAGATTGATCGATGTCAACGACGATTATACATACACACACACACACACACACACACACACATATATATATATATCTCATCGATCTTTAACGCACGTCAGCATGTCGATATAGAATTTTAAGAAGAAAATTACGATTACTCGAATCAATCTTCCTAATCGATTTGGCCTCGAAAGAATATATTTTGACGAGATCGTACGATCCGATCGTTACGCCAAGGTGCATTACCACCGGGTCGATGGCTAATGATTAATGGTTTAGTAAAATGAAGAAGGCTTTCTCTCTCTCTCTCTCTCTCTCTCTCTCTCGCACAAATGAGTTTTTTTCCAAACTTCGTGCGATTCGAGGACTAAAAAAAGGGTTGTAAAAAGGATAGGAAAAAGGTATACGTATATACTGCTCGCGCGAAATAGCGTGGCACGAATGTTTTCGAAAAAGAATCATAATCCGTAGTATTGTCTTGAAATGATAAATTAAATAAATTAAACCGGTACTTATATCGGTGCATCAAAATCCTTGAATTCAATGACTCGTAGAAATGCAAATTTTCAAGATTCCTCTTGGTTATCGATTTTCTTCGGGAAAGTCCATTTACACGGCTGTTCAATGCTAATGTTTAATTCATCTAACCGATCAATTCTAATCTCCTAAATTGACAATCGTCTTAATGCTAGTTTCCCTCGGTCCCTTTGAATAATTCTCACGAAAGATATCTTCCTGCGATTTTCTCAATTTTATTATAAAGGAAGAAAGGAATTCTCCGACGCGTTATCGTCTCGTTCCGTGTCTCGAACTTCCAAAAAAAGCGTCCGACTATGAGCCAATGACTAATTTCTATTCTGAAATTCCATTTCTCTTTTCGTGACTTCTTCAATCGCCACAGCTCGAGGAAAGATTCCTTGACCGGTTACATTCGGACATTATTGTGTCTTGTCTCGGCGAGAAAGGAAAAAAAGAAAAAGAAAAGGGGGGAAAAAAGCGAGTTTGTCAAATTGCAACGTCGACGGGTGTGGTAACTTTATGATGTAGAGTGTAACCGTAGCATTAACAAAATCGTATTAATGTATAATTTCCGGGGCGATGTAATTACTGCGCTGAAATTATACCTCATTTGCTGACGTCATCATCTTCGAGCTATCTTCATTGTTATTAGCGTTTTCTCGGATGAAAATTACCTTCTCTGACGATTTCTACAAACTATTAAAATTCTTCAGAAGAATTCAAGTTATTTGGGAAGAAGAAAAAGTAATATCGAAAATCGTATCTCGCTATCGATTTAATAAACATTTTATTACAACAATCGAACGATTCTCATTTGAAAGAAGACGAAACTTTTTAAAATTCCTCTTATGATGATTCTTCTTTTACTCCTATATCGAGGAGTAGAGGCCTGTCTCCTTCGAAGAATTTATATCCATAAATAACTATAAAATTGGAAAAAAGTAGAAGCTGTTCTGCATGTAGCATCGACTCGAACGAATCGGCTATTTTTTTTTAATTGACATTAAATAGAATGCTTTCTTTCGTGGACATTTAGTTTCGTCCGACGGCACTTGATAAAATTCTAAGACGACGAGAGGTGATTAGTTAGAGGTTCAAATGTATCTTTGCCAAGAGGACGTTCCCTGTGGCAATTTTTCGATATAATCTTTCGTTAGTACAAGACAAGAAAACTGATAGAGAAAAAGGAAGAGCGAGAAATGTAGAGGAGAAGATGATACCTTGGAATTAATCTGCCGCCTTTCTCGAGTGAAATACATTAGCGAGCGAGCTTAATACCCTCTCTCTCTCTCTCTTTCTCGACACAGATTATAAATTATTTAATTAAGTGTTCTTTCAAAGTAGACAGATGCGTCGTTATGCTTGAATATGTTGAAAAGGTAAGAACGATCGAGTCTTCGAAGGAATCTACGAAAGTTTTAGAGGAACATGAAAAAAATTAGAAGGAAAATTAGAGGAACATGAAAAGAGTAAAAAGGGTAAATGATCTTTTCGGAAAATATCGCCGAGTCTCTTTAGATGTAGCTTGAACGTATAACAATACTCTGATTTCTCGAACGTAAAATTTGATATTGAAATATCAAGTGATGGAATGGCAGGGATACTCAAATATAAATAACGCTTACCGTTGTCTATGTTATTTCATTTTACAACGTTCTTTAAAACATTTTTCTCTGGTTACATTCCCTTCGCGTTACGATACGACAGAAAATTCAAAAATCGCAATCCGATCCTAACGGGATAACTATAGTAAATTATCTCATGGCATCCAAGAATCAAGAAGATGTCTACTGCGATGTCCGTCGGTGCGATATATGCCGTTATTTGCATATGCGAATATTCGTAAAAAGAAAGAAAGGTTTTAACGAAAATAAAGGCCTTTGCGGCGAAATAAAAATGAAAGGAACGAGAATTCTAAAAGAGTCTGCTGTCTCGTACACGGTCAAATGTCATACGACTCGGTTATTCCTTTCCTCATCGATTAATTAATTTGTGGTAAGCCAACATTATAACATTATATAAGCATCATTATATAAAGAGTATCTATATAAGGATAATATAACTGGATAAAATTCATAAGCGAGCGAGAAAAAAGAAGATATTTATTTCTATACGGATTTCTTTTCGATAAAAGATCCGTCAATATTCGTTCTTGCACGAAGAGAATACTATAGTTTTTTTGTGTTATCGATGATTATACATTTATAAGATTTCCTTGTTAGATCATCGAAAAGCCCTAAGGACATTTGAAGGAAAATCAAAATACCTTGCGCGTATTTCGCACAGGAACGTCAGGATACTAAAGTAACTCTATTTACGAGGACAGGGTGAAGCGGGAAATCGATAATCGATGGTTCGGGAACCAACAACATCCCCTTCGATGTCTATTCTGCTACGTTTTCCATAACTCGTCATTCAATGCACGTGCGCCGATGGAATAACATTTGAAACTCGTAGATATATCATCAGGTATATCAATGCCACGAAATTTTCGTCATTTTCGTCTCTTTCTCTCTCTCTCTCTCTCTCTCTCTCTCTCTCTCATGATAAAAATGAAATCCCCTTGCCGCCGTGCGTCGAACGAGATTCGAATTCTTCGGCGTCCGAAGGAAAAAGGAACGAAAGACCGACAAAACAATATCGGTTTCCAAATGAGAAAATTGTTTAACCTAATTGGACTTTGCGAACCCGATATCCGGTATAGAAAGAAAGAGTTTGTTATCCAAGTTGATTTTAAGAAGAAAAATAATTCGAATACCTGCCCAAGTAGTTTGATGTTTCGTAAAAAGAAAAATATAATGTACGATATAATTGAAAGAATTTTACTAAGTATTACACTTAATTTCATTCCCATCTACGAGGAATTCTCTCCATCGAGATGAATCTCCGTCGTCGTTATTCATTGATACGAAGATGAATCGATAGATGTTTGGAAAAAGGTGACGATACGAAGGATGCTTCTTTATCGATAACATTCCAAAGAGGAGATTGGCCTTTGATAGATATTACGACGGTAGTCGTGCTGCTGTTAGCGAATGGCTTTAAGGAGAGCAAGGCCACCTACCGATAGGATAGGATATGATCGAAAAAGAAAGAAAATAAGGTAGAAAGATTCTCTGTTTGTACGGACAACGAGTGTGGTCGATCGACACGCGATCGTTAAAAAAAAAAAGAGAGAGAGAAAAAAAAGAAATCGAATGTAGTCCTGTCACGAGCAACCTTCACGACAAATTACGTTAACTTCGTAGAGGTCGTCGAATGATAGTATATTGGATTCCTCTCGTCTATTCTCTTATTTTAAACGTTTAGAAAAAGGTTGAATCAGGTCTCAGAGAATGACGGATCGACCGACTTATATCGAGCCTTCGGAACAACGATCGAAGGAGGAGGAGGTAGTAGGACGAGTATATTTGGCCTTGAGGAAAATTCTCGACGGTACGAGCGTGTCCTTTAAAGAATTTACCGATCCAACGGCAATGACGGCGGCAACGACAACGCTTCTCCCAATTTTGTTTTCGAGAAGATCGAAAGCAAAGGGGGATCATCGGCGAACCCCAGGTCCTTGCCCTCGATCGACCTTGCCCTCCCGTCCTTCGAGATATAAATTCAGATCTCTTCGTGATAGAATACTAATCTCACGTTTAGTATTCTATCGAAATTTTTTGTTCCTTTCACCCTCGAATATTCTCTCTCTCTCTCTCTCTCTCTCTCTCTCTCTCGAGATCGGTAAATTCGGGATATCTCCCCTCCGGAGATATTGTCCTGAGGGGAGCTGCCGAAAATTGTCCAAGAGAAAGACGATTTTACTCGAGCATTTTCTCAATGGTTAAAACATTGACATTATATCGTTTATGGTATAACACGCTTCAATCTAGTATTTAAATCTTACTCCTACAGCTTGTAAGGGAAAATTGTTCTATGATAAGAACTAAAAAAGATTATACCGAGAAACATGCCTCGAGCGAATCTCCCGGTAAAGAGGGAAGGACGACGAACGCTGATGAAACGGGAAACGATGTTAAGGACGGAAAGGGAACTATCGTATCCGAGAATGGTGAGGAGAAAACGAACGAGAAAAACAAAACGAATGCCAGACGAGTGAAATTTTCCTTAGGCGAGGAGACTACCATTTTCCCTAGCTCAGAAGAGATAGGTCGTTATCGGAGAATTTTCGCCTCTACATAAGTATATATTATCGTTAAGAAAATAGAAAGGGAAAAGAAAGAAAAGAAAAGAAAACTAATAAACGAAAACTCTTCTCAGAAGATACGAAAAATCAAGAAGAAGGAAAAGAGTCCTGCTCTAATCTGCAGGACGAAGTCTGCACGACGAAGGAATTTCTTTATTATTGCGCGGTTCATCTGGTAGCATATAGCATTTGTATTTTGATCATTGTCACGACGATCGTCACGGGCTATTCCATGTCACATTGAAGATTTTACCTTAACGAGCTATTAATCGCGCCTAAACAATATGACGTAGTCGATGTAAAGAAAAAATAAAAAAAAAAGAAAGAATTTGTAATCGTCCAACGTCGTTCACGACACGAAACGCGTATTATACCCTTGAGTAAATATTATCTAATTATTACATTTAACGACAATGAAACGAAGATTGAGCGATTGTTAAACTCTCTCGCGTGTTATTCGATCGATTGCATTCGATGTCGATCTTCGTTTCTCCTTAGCGCTCGCTCTTTCTCTCCATTATACCCTTCTATCTATTCCCTCTAATTCTCCCGCCCACCTACCGTGCGTCTCCCTTTACATAGATATGTAGATATCTATGTAATCCCTCGTCAGCTGATCTCCCGTAGCTCCTTAAACGGCCGTAAGCTTCGCTTTCTACGAACGTACGACATAGACGGAAATATCGATGGTAGGAATCACCGATCCGACGACGAGTATCGATCCGAATACCGAATTGAAACTGGACGACGACTGACATATCGATTCGACTGTATGTCCTACTTTCGTTAAATAGACAACCATAAAGGATACCACTTTTAACTTCCTTCCATCTCCCTTTCCTCTTGGTTAGGACTTTAAGTAGACTTTTATACTTCGAGGCGCTATAGGGACGTAACCAAAGGGGTTCTAACGAAGAAAAGGAGAGAGAGAGAGAGAGAGAGAGAGAGAGAGAGAGAGAGAGAGAGAGAGAGAGAGAGAGAGAGGAAAGGTGGCTTTTTCACTCTTCCTCTCTTGATCGACATCACCGATCCCGATAGTAACTCGCTCCCCGTTAAACTTCCTCGAATAAAATCGAACTAAATTTAATGGACCAAACTTTACGCTAATTACATTGCCCGAAGCGCGCTTACGTATCCGTTTATACGGCTATTTGATTTTTTCTCTTTTTCATTTCATTTATTTTCTTTAAATTATAATTTCCATTGAAAACAATGTGATAAAATATTGTTGTCCGAACGACTTGATTCGAAATGGAAGCATCGACGACGTTATCGGCGGGATCCTCCTCTCGAGTTGGGATCTTTCTGAACGAGTTCACGAAAAAGACTTAGAAAGAATCTTTATCTTTTGCCCATAGAAATGTTAGTTTCCCTTATGCGTCATAGAAGGAAAACGTTTCTCTCGAGACAATTTAACTCCATTGCGGTAATCTATTTTAAAACTAGCTCCGAATGAAAAACGTTACATCGACGTTGACTCAATTTTTTATTGATTTTCGATGCGTACCTTCTAATGTTAATGGAATTTACTTTTATACTTTCTATCGAGTAAAATCAATCTTATTTTTCATCATTCATTTTAAATCATTTGGAAGCATTCTTTTTAATATTTATTGCGGTTGTTAAAAAAGAAAATAAATATATTAACTTGTCCTAATAACTTTTCTCTTATCGATGAATATTCTGTTGTTGTTGTTTTTTTTTTCTTTTTCTGAAACGTTTAAATGATTCCTTACGTTCAAAAATGAAGCAGTTTATATCGGTTCGATTGTTAAAACGCTTATTTTAAATAGCATCACGTACATAAGCACGTAGGTATATGTCGAGGAAAAAAACGACTTATTTTTCAGTTAAAGAACTGGAACGACCGACTACGTTAGAATTTTTTGAAAGAAATGCCGCGAGCAATGCTCTTGCCAGGAAGCATTACTTCATCGAACCGAAGACAGGGGTGCCACGATGTCTAGCCAAGTAGTTTATTCGGTATCTCAGCCAAGTCGGAGATATACACGAATTCTCTCCTCTTCTTTTTTCCTTTCGTAATTTTTTTCGAAAACTTTTCTCACCGTTATCGTACACGAGAGCGTAGTACTTATTTTGCGACACATCCTTCTTACAACTTTGGTTGTACGAAGGGAAACAAAGGGAAAGATGCAATTAATTTCCAACGAGATAATCGAGACTTTTCGAAACAATAAAAGACGACGAGCTGCAACGACCGATGCACTAAAAGCTCATACAGCGTGATTGTCTCTAGTTTAACGCTCAAAATTCAAATAAATAATTTCAAATGATGAAGAGAAAAAGAAAAAAGAAAAGAAATAATCGTAGCTGATATTACGAGTAAACGGTGAGAAGAGGAATAAGTTGCGATGAAATTATTGCCTAGCTAGAGACACCGCCTTGTGTCTATGTTCGTGCCTATGTATGCAAATATATATATATATATATGCATATTTATATATATACATATTTTTATATATATATATATACGCATATCCACATTGCAAAGGTCGGTCCTATGGCACGGCTGGTTCTCGAAAGGTTGAAGACCTTCCCTCTTCATTATTAACACGATGTACATCGATTTTGTCTGCCTAGCTTCGTAAACTCGTTTCCATTTTACGAGACTACGGAAGACAACGTGTTAGTCCTCTCTCTCTCTCTCTCTCGAAAGTTGCACGTTCTACCCTCGCAATCTTATCATTCAAGATGAAAATCAACGTCGAGAAATATCAAAGAGAAAATATTAGAGGTTCGCGAAAACGACGAAACACCTGTTGTTCCGTTTCGACGAGAAAGATCGTATACTTACCCCACAAGGATAGATCGATGTCGATCACGCGATTGTTACAGGCTCGATCTTCGTAGTCAACATCGCCGTTTGGACACATGAAATTTCACTCGCGAGAATTTTAGATCGAAAGATTCGAAAGATATTACTATATTTCTACCTTTTCTTTTATTCTTTTTTTCAAAAAGAAGAGAAAAAGTGAAAGAAGCGAGAATAAGGAAAAAAGAAAAAAGTGAGAAAACGAAGAAAAAATAAAAAAAAGAAAGAAGGAGAGTAACGACACATGGCAACTACGCTTTTCAACGATTTTCTTTAAAAACGGAAAGAAAAGATATTTTCTCTTTTTGAAAGGAGGAGGCACCGTTTACTCGGCCGTGTTCGCTCGCTCGCGCGCGAGCAGCAGCGACGACGAGCGAGGGTCGTCGCCGTTTGCGCGACCACCCCCCCGGTATATTCTATCCCTTTGATGCCACGTGCTGATGCCGAGAAACGCGCACGTTCCAAAAGGGAAAGAGGGTTGCCATGATCCCCCTACCCTAACACATAATGTCCGACTTACGTCGGCGCTTTTCCACGCGCGGTTTCACGCGCAAACGCCGGATTCTCTACGACCTCGAGTCAAGTCGACGAGTTAAGAAGAAGAAGAAGAAGAAGAAAAATTCATTTCCTTATCGCCTAAATCATGCTTTCCTATCCGACGATACCTCGCTTATATAATATATACATATACCCGTACATACGTATCTTATTGTTCTTTCAGATTTGACGCGGTCCCGATATACCCTCTCGATAACGAAAGAGAATTGCAAAAAATGCCAGATACACCGACCATATTCCGTTTCACTAACAACAACGACCACTTGACTTTCAATCAGCGCTTATTCTACGAGAAAAATGGATTTTTAATCATTCCCGATCTTATACCGCAACGTATATTGGACAAGTGTTCAAAGAGGTAATTGAAAACGATCGCGATCCTTTCAAAGGATCAGTTTTTATTTTCTAGATACGACGACATCATTTCCCGAAATATCGATCCAGGACTTATCACGATTATGCGCGACGTAGCCGATAGGAAATTGGTCAATAAGATACAAAACATTAATCACGATCAAGTATTTGAAGAATATTTCGAATATGACAAGTTGTTGGATATCGTCGAGTGTATCACGGGCCCTAATATAATGGCCATGCATAGCATGTTAATAGCGAAACCGCCGGACGCAGGATACGGTTCGAGTTCGTAAGGATCTTTTATTCTTATTATCCATTTTTATATGTTTTATATGATTTATCAAGATCCAACGATATTTCCAGACATCCACCGCATCAGGACCTTCATTATTTCCCTTTTCGGCCGGCCGACAAGATCGTAGCAACTTGGACCGCAATAGAGCCGTGTAATCGTTCGAACGGTTGCCTTTACGTTATTCCCGGAACTCATGGACTTGATAAACTCTACGAGCACGATTATCCTCCTGGCTCGAAACCGAATACAGTAAACAAGTTTTATTACGGTATTTGGGTAAGTAATCGCAAAAGATTGTATTTCACCGATACACTTTGCGTAATAACATCTTTTTTTTTTAACCTTTTTAAGGATTTACCACCGATGGACGACAGATCCTATATCGTAATGAAACCCGGCGATACAGTCTTCTTCCATCCTTTGCTCATACACGGATCCGGCATTAATCGATCCAACGGATCGAGAAAGGCCATTTCTTGCCATTACGCCTCCTCCGACTGTTATTACATCGAGGTATTAACATAGATATATATTATCAATTTTTACTTGTTTTCCAAATTCTTATCCAAGTAACGGTAAATAATATTATTCGCGCAGGCTAAAACTCCAACGGAAAAACAAAATCAAAATGAGATTCTGATGGCTTTCAAAAAACGATTCCCTAATTCGAATGTAACGTATGAGGATATTTGGAGACTCAAATCCAAGCTTGTGCGCGGCGCTCGATCCTCGTTGTAGACCTCTCTCTCGTTCACATTTGCGCGGTAACTATTTTGTAAAATAATAATAATAATAATAATAATAATAAAGATGATTAGTTTTCAAAGATGACAACAGGAAAGGAAATTTGCCCTGTCGAGGGTAATTGATTGCACGACAGAAGAAGATGTAACGACAACACCGTCGTTGTCGCGATTATTATTCAGTGACTTGATATCACGACGATGTCGTTGATGATTATAAGGTGGTTGAAGAGTGTAACAATGTTTCGAATGAGGATCTTTATAGGTATTCTCATGTCGCACGCTAGCACTGGATGTACGACAGGCGGCGAGGCAAGTTTGAAATCGATCCATATTGCGAAGACGCACCTTTACCGTATCTTCTTCCTTTATTCTCGGAAGATTTTTACCACTTTCTACGGTATCCTTCTTTCCCTTTATATGCTGTTAACATAATAATAATAATAATAATAATAATAATAATAATAATAATAATAATAATAATAATAGGAGCGTACCTTAGACTTAATTACTTAGAACAAATAGGAAGAGGAATACCTTGGCAGGATGTAAACAACAGGAAACGCAATATTCGTAAATAGCACAGCATCCTTGAGCATTACACGTCTTACAACTGTATCTCTCCTTAAGGGCCGTAATCGTGGCCTCTTCCGTTTTATACGGTTGCTTCTGTTCCCTGCTACAGCAACCATTAGACAAAAGTTCGTGCCTGGCACATACTACTCCGTGCTCGTCCACTATCAATACTTTGCCCTAAAAAATAATTTCATCCTTTCTTGCTTTTATAAACATAAGATGCCTTTCGAGCGTGTAATATATCTACAACAATATACCTGTACAGAATTGCGGCATGGTCGATTAGACGTATCGCTGTCATTTAAGTTAGACGGCGAATCTATACCTAAGCCATTATCATTAGCTCCTCCTTCGTTTGGAACATCGATCCCCCAAGATTCACGTGGTTTACCGGATGCTTTAAGTTGTTGTGACGGAACGTCGTCGTCAGAAATCATATCGTCGTTGTTGTTGTCATTCATTATCAATCCCTCCATATCGTCGAGATCGCTATCCAATTCTATCGATCTACTCTGTAATAAATAATATTATTTTAATCGACCTTACAAACGTCATATTCAACCTTATACATTGATCCTAGCTATCCTTAGAAAAATCCTCTCCTTACCTCATTGCGGAATAAAGAAAAAGCGCAATAAGTCAGCGACAATGTAAATATAAGTCCCAAAACTAAACGCCGACGAATAATCCTAACGAATCCCGTGTATCCTGCCATGGTTATATAATTCGTAACCGAGCACAAAACTTTAAACTTTTCCTCTTAAACTTTTAAACATTTTTATCGTTTAGGTATACCTATTAGATTCATTGTATACCAAAATATTATCCGAGATAAGATATTTCTCGACATATAGGATTAACACGCATAAACGGTAAATATCACCAAATCTCTTGCAAAAGGAGGTTATGTTTCCATTGGACTTTTCAGCATATCTATTTTGTAACATTCGCGAATATTTCTTTTTAATCGTACCGAATCACTGCGAATACTTGTTGATTACCTTGCTTGATATCGAGGACATAGATATATAGAATCGATCAAAAGCACGACATTTAAGAAAATCCTGAAATTAGATCGCAAGAATAGATTTCTTTGTTTCTTCTGTCGAACGCTAGATGGCTTATAACATATCGTCTCGTTACATACGCATGTGGATAGAGTTTGACAAGGCGCATAATTAATACGCCGACAAACGCACGTTGCTTGGAAACCAACCAAAAAAAAAGTGAGAGCCAACAAACTAAAATCCGGGAACTAAAAAAAATAAATCATTTAATCTGTCATAGCCGCCACAAACTTTAATAACTTGTGTAAAATTAAATAAATATATCATAATCATTCTTTGATTCGCAAAGTTTCTATTTACTACGACGACATCTAGCGTTCGCGTTTACAAACTTATGCCGCGTAAATCGATAAAAATCGATCGACTTATAATACATATACAACGATAGATGCATTTTATACATATGCATCTTGTGATACGCACACGAGGGAAACATTGTGTACCATTGTTAAATATATTGTTTATTTGCAATAATATTGTTTCATCGTACGTAGCTCGTACTTATAATTTTACAGTATAAGAAGCATAAACCATGTAAAAGGGCGCGATTTTATATCGATTAATCGATAAATGATGACAGCTTTCTTAAACTTATCAACGATCGAACGATATGACATTAAGTAAAATAAAATGGGTACTATCGTTTGCTATATTTTTATTAATTTTCTCTACTCTTATTTGGACTTCGATACATCTTGGTCAAATTAGAAGTATGGAAATGTGAGTACACACACGCACACGTGTATATATATATATATATATATATTTATATATATACGCGACCATTTTCATTTTAAAGACGTTGCAAAAATTGCATAATTTGTTCTTACCTCTTTTAAAACGACTTAATAAAAATTATTCGTGGCAGCAATAATTCTAATAGGAGCGATCAAAAGCATACAACTATATCGAACAAGGAAGAAGAGGAATCGGGATTCGGAGAATATTTAACGAGTAAAACTGTAACTACCGATAGCGTTATCGAATATACCGACAGTTCCGGTTTTTGGGGTATACTTCCTGGTAATCATACGATTCTTCCTTATCTTTTAATTCGAAACAATGGGGATCATTTTACAAAAGGATCCCGTAAGAAACGAACGAGCTCGCTACAGTTTCGAATGTCTCCCTCGGCAACGTAAACAAAAATCACGTTCGTATCATGACGAACGATTGCAAATCAAACGAGTCCTTCTTTTTACAGAACGAAATAGAACCTAAAACGTGATTTTGACCACGTCGTTGTTTTGTTCCAATGTCAAACGCACGTAAAAATCATCGAATAGTTAAAATACATTTTTTCTTATCCTTACACACACACACGCGCGCGCGCGCGCGCGTATATATATATATATATATGTATATGTATATATGTATATTTCGTTTTTTTTTGTAATTTATTCGTGACTTTTTGGGAAAAGGTTCGTTTGCGAACGACGAAAGGTTAGAAGAACAAGTGGGAACATCTGGCTTGTGAGAGAAGACTCTTAACTTGATTTATGTATTCTTTCTGTAGAAGGATGAACCATTTTAGGAGACGAATTTCTTTTCAAGGAAATTTCAAGGCTTTTTCGAACGAACGAAGCATTCTTCGTTCACTTTGGTGTTAATAATGTACACCAAAGTACTTTTGGCGACTGTACTTGAGAACATCGAACGATATCTAGGATTTCGAATTACGCAGACATCGACGAAATATTAGTTAACGTTAAAATGCGATCAAAACGCTTTTTAAACAAAGAGACAAGGTCGATCCGATCGTTTCGACGGTAGATTCGTAACGTGAGTTTGACCTTTGTCCTTTGAGTTTTCTCTCAGATTCTTCGGCTTAAAAAATTTGTCGTATCGTTCCGCGCGACGAAGGACGTTCTTCTTTTCTCATCTCTCTCTCTTTTTCCCCCTCGCAGCTACTCGGACGAAAGTAAACAAAGGACCGTCGTAATAGTCCAGTTAGTTCCATAAAGTGCTGCTAGAGCGCTCGTAACAAGGGGCGGAGCGATCGCATAAACCGAATTAACATTTTTAAAAGAATGGCCCGTGTAGGAGCGGTGGATAAATCTTTATATTCAAGCATAGTTCGCTTCTCCTTATATCTTTAATAACATATATATGTATATATATATATTTATATATATATGTATGTGTGTAGTATACATGGTATTTATATATATATATATATATATATATTTCTCAATCACTCACTCGGTCCTCATAATACGCTGCCATCTAAGATCAAGTCGGTTTTTTCTCTTTGCATAATACTCGTATTCGGTTCTTCGACGACAGTGATATTAAACCTTTCCATCGAACGTGATAGAACGCGTCGCGTTTGCTTTCATTGCATTTTGAATGCAATGAATAGGATAAAGTCTCGTACGCGAAATGATATACCGATCATTTTTGACAATTACAAATTGAAAAAGTGGCTTTTTCGTGCTGGTCCTTGCCGGCAGGAGTTGCTTCGAAAGGTAAGTAAGGCTTATAAAATCACTTTGGTCGTACGTACGCATGCCTTACGATTATTTTACTTTCCCGCCTTTTTCGCTTCCTTTTCTCTTTCTCAACGAAAATTAGATAGATTTATCCTTTGGTCGACCACGAAGTCCAACTTGATTTATCTTCGAACGTTGCCGTAGTCATTTCTTTTCTTCTCTCTCTCTCTCTCTCTCTCTCTCTCTCTCTCTCTCTCTCTCTCTCTCTCTCTCTCTCTCTCTCTGTCTCTCCATCGGAGAAATAGTCTCTTGTTTCTGTTACACCGGATGTGACGCTGCTTTTAGATATACCAAATACGTAATATGGATTCAAAGAATAAGAAAGGTTATCGAAAAGCAACTCACGACTACGCAAAGGCTTTAACACTTCGGGGAGAAAGACGAAAGGTACACAATTAAACTTATTATTCATGACGATTCAAGTAGGTACTCGATACTGTCTTTGTAAGCGACGATGCTTTTTGGTTAATAAGTTAGATCATCATTTTTTTTTTGTTTTCTTCTTTGTTCTTTCCCCCACTCCCCCTTTCCCCCCGTTTGTTTTCTTTGATCTAGCATTACGAATTATTTAAAAAGGTTGGAATGTTTATTCAGCTTTTCATATAAATTTTCAACTTAAAGTATCTAAATGTCAATTAGAAAAACATTAGCGCTACTAAGATATGTAATAATAACTTATATGTGTATTTGTTTACTGAGAAGGTCAATTTATCTTTATTTACATATGTAATGAGCTTTATAAAGTTCGTATCAATGTCAAGCGTCTATGAAATAGTAGTCCAAGTTATCTACGAGTAGATAATTTATGACACAATAAAATAGAAGCAAATAAATTAGAGAAATAAATGAAATATTACATATGCGTTGCAAAATATCTTACATTTTGATTTTCCATTTTTTTTTTTTTTTTCGATTTGTACGTACTTACGACAGAATTTTATACGGACGCGTCATATTGCTGGTGGTAACATTTGAAGGAGCAAAGTTTATTTACAGACAGACAAGACGATAATGAATTAGTTGATTTATTTTGTTTGATCATTTTCCTAGGATTATAATATGTCGACAATTAAACGCCGTTGGCGCGCAATATTCATTCGTTCGAGCATATTATGTTTTTGATTGGTTATTAAGGTTTATCCTATGCTGCTTGGGCGTTATTCTCTCGTAGGAAGGCGAAAGAAAAAATTTTTTGCTCCCTAATCTCATTCTTATCTCTTCGAAGTTGCAAAAAAGGAAATGGGAACTAATCGGGATATATGTATATATGTGTATATATGTATATATGTATATTCCGCAATTTTGTTGCAGTTGAAACACGATCTGGAAAAGCTTAATCTCTCAAAAAGCGGATTACGACGAGCTCTGTTACAATTGACCACCGAATCGTACGTCGTTGTCGATCGATTGTAAGTATCATAGTACGTGTACTGATAATAAGAACCACAGGGCTTCCGAAAGGGCTTTTATTGCTCAATATCGAGGATGAAAAATGACTCTTGACATTTCAATTCCAACTATCACACAGCGAACTTGACAATTCAATGTAATAAATCGACTACTTGGCTTCCGACCCACGCAACAAAAGAGATTTGAAAATCTCTCTTGAAAAACGACGAACTATGTAAATGCAGATAGGTACTTGTGGCCTTTCTAAGGAATGTTATGAGCGGTGTACGAAGGAAATTACGAAGGGTATCGTTTTCAAAATGTATTCCGCTATTGAGGGATCGATTACGAGGGGGCGGTAACGAGTAACGTTCTATATTACGTTCGTTAAGAATAAGGGAATGGGGGCGTGAACGATTCGAAAGGATCGACCAATGACAAGCCTTTCGATCCAGTCCCAATTATTCAATATCTATGTTAGGTCATTACCGATAAGAAGGAGGAGTATCACGTGTATCGCATGCGTCTCAGAATTTCTTTCCTTGTGTATGGGCCATTGCGTACTCTTTCTTTCCTCTAGCATTACTTACCATTTTCCCCGCTCGTTTCCTAATCGCGAACCTTCGAAGAAGATATGTTTTACATATTTATATTTATGACCGCTTACAACCGCTCTCAAGTTTATCATAATATTGAATTTGACATTATCTGCCCTATTATTATTAGCCAGTTGCATTCGTAAAACTCTGATAAATCTGATGTACATTGGATAAATCGTTTTGCACATATTTATTTAGCTTTATCCCTTGTCCATCGCGTCCTTATGTTCTATGGTGACAGTTTAAAAGTATATTGAATGGTGCGAGGGAGTTGGAGGACCTCCTTGTGTCATATAGTCGTCTCTATTTCAAATACTTAAAGTTGCGACCAAGAATTTTTCATCTCCTCAATATAACTTTTTTTCCCTCCTTTTTCTTTTCTTCTTTTTCAATGTGCCCTTCTTAAATTTGTTTGTTTGTTTTTTTCCTTTATCAAATCTCTCTTATCTCTGGCCAAGTATTTGTTCTAATCGATTTGCCAAATATTATCGTCCTTCGAGTACGACCAAAAGAATGACCGACGATTATTGAAGACACGATGAGGTAAGAATTTTGTTTCGTTAAAAGGGACGGCGGGGGAAGAAACGATAATTTTCTTCCTCGATTGTGCTTGTCTTTGCTACGTGTCATTCGGATGCGTCGTTCGGCGATTTGTTTTTCTTGAGATATTTCAAATGTCGATAGAAAGTAAAAGAAAAGAGAAGTAAAAAATATCCAATTAAAAAGCGGCATCAAAATATATGACGACGGACAACGCGAAGAAAATAGAAAAGGAAAAGGACCGCGAAATACGAATCATTTTTGATGTACGAATAATAATTGACTGATCCTATAGAAAGAAACATTTCTTTGTCATAAATATGTTGTGTGGTCTTTCCCCATGTTTTTTTAGTCATTTGAAATAGTACGTGAATAAAAAGTGTGATTTCATTAATAATTTAAATGAAATAAAACGATTCTCTCGTTCAACGAAGTGTAATAATTTAAATATATAAATGAATCGAATAGGGGACAAATTATTGTTCGATTAATTTTGAACTGTTTGAACTGTTTATTGAATGATCGTGTGTTGCCTGCCTTATGAAGCTTTTAAAGTTTTTTTTTGAATGTTTTAAAAACACGAAGTAATTTAATTGGAATTAAATTTGTTTTATTTAATATGTAGTATTACTTTCTATTTTAGGTCAAAGGAAATAATAAGCAGTATCAATGACAAGGACAGGGCACAGGGTTTTGCGAGGCGCACCGAAGAATTTATACCATTTTTCCTCGACGATGAATACAATCAAAAGGATAATAGGAATAAGAAAGATTTAAATAATTCCGAAGATATAAGAAAAAGTTCAAAATGTTCTGACGAACGATACGACGAGGAGTTGGACGCAGATAATACGTCGCAGATAATTTCAATGTTGCGTTGCACAAAACCTCGCGTCAATCAAATTAAGATAGACGGGTTTAAATTTAAACATAAATTTGATCATGAAGAAATATCGAAGGGTAGATCGATCGATAAAAAAGTATCGACGCAAAATAATAGAAACGGAATAATACCCAATAATAACGATACAGATGTGATAAAGGTGCCTATTCAAATAAATAGAGAAAGATTAAGAAGGCCCATTTTAGGTGCGTCTAATGAACTGCGCGAGAAAGAATTTACCGATGATAAAGGTTGTTGTTTTTCTACGCGTAAAACCATGGAAGCGGACTCCGATCTTTCAAATGACAAAATAAATGATACATTAAAGGTACATGACAACGACATAGATATAAACGAATTGAAAACAGTTCGCCAGTGTGAACTGCGTGAAACCGTAATTATTGACAAAATTCAAAAGAATTGCAACATATCTGATATTTTTAATCGAACCTATTCAAGTGTAGATATGAGAAAACGAAAAAAGATTCGGGATAAATTTCACGAGATCTTTGATCAGTGCCTTACGTTAAGCGAGGAGGAGGAAGAAGAATTTATAATAAATGCTTGTATACGTACGAGACAAAGAAAGAAGTACAAAAAATTGTCGAATGTTGATAAAAATATCGAATATCCTGTAGTTTTAGATAAGGCAAACAGACAAGATATAACATCTGATTTAATAGTGGATACAGCCTGTAGAAAGACTTGTGAGATTTCAAGTATAGAATTGGTAGAAACTTTATTAAATACTAGAAATGTTAGAGAATTCGATGAGGATCAAACTGTCTGTGATAAAGATGTATTTACTATGGAAATCGAACTTTGCGGGGACGATAGCGTTGAAAAAGATAATATTATAAAGTTTCCTTTGCTTTGCGATAATAATAATTGCGATAATAATGAGGAAATAGAAATGAATCTTTCTAATGAATTACCGACTAAAACTTCTAATGTCTCTGTAATAGATGACATTGCTGAAGTAACTCAGGCGGAAGAAGCGCACAATGAGATCGTTGAATCAACAGAATCGATTAAGGTGGAAACAAACGAATCATCTGATTTTAGCATTTACAATCGAAACTTTAATGATACAAATGTTGAAGTATTAACTAATAACGCTATTAAAATAAGAACATTGTGCGAAAGGACTAATAATACTAGTAGTAGCAGTAGTAGCAATAATAATAATAATAATGATAATGATAATGATAATGATAATGATAATGATAATGATAATGATAATGATAATAATAATGATAATAATAATAATAATAATGGCGACGACGACGACGACGACGACAAAATCACCTGCCATGTATCAAGAAATAGTTATAGCAAGGAAGTGCAATTAGATAGAGATTCTGATGACGCCAGTATTAAAACTACAGTTACAAGTGCAGCTGTTAATTCGGATGTCCCTGTAGAGAAAATATTAGAAAAGTCTAGAGATAGAGAAAATCTGTCAAAGACTTCAAAAGCTGACACATCCTTTGAAACGCCAAAGAAAATAGACGATGCAATGATAGCGAATATTAATTTTACAGAATCCTCCGCAAGAAATATTAATGATAACAATGCGGATATAGAAGTTGAGATAAAACCCACGTATATCGAAACTTGTGAAAATACCCAAAGTAATCCTAAGGTATATGATAAGGAAAACATGATAAATGATGATAATTTAAAATCGTCTAAACAAGACATTAACGAAGATTTAGGTCAACTTTTACGAATGAATATAGATCAAAATTATAGAATAGAATCGATTGGTAATACCATTAGCATTCAGGAAAATGTTGAATCATATAGAAATCAGACTATAATAGTAAAGGACATTTGCAAAAATCAATTGAGCTCTAATAATGATTCAACAAACAACAATGGTGAAATAGAGGTCGTATTAGAGGAATCAACGTTTGGTATTATCGAAGAAAATAACGATACGTCTGTTATAAAAAGGGACAATGAAAAGATTAATGACTCTTCGTTCAATACAATCGATTTCGAACAGCATAGTAAGCTCGACGATTGTCCTTATAATTTTATACAATCAAAAGGAATAAAAGGAAACAAAATAAGGGTTCTTTCTAGCGCAGAATTAGGCTCTAGATGGTGTCCTACTCCCGTAGACACGTCTCTAACTGAACCTATTAACGCATTGGTTAATGAAACAACAGTCCCTAGAAATGTTAATGATACGCCATCTGAGCGTACCACGGATCGTAAACGATCGACCAAGGATGCAATAATACTCGACAACAAGTACCCGTCTCTATCCTATACAGAATATTATTTAATGTCCATTCATAGACGTATAATGCGTATACGTGCGTTAGAAAAGAAATTCTCGTCGAATGATCGTCGAAATGTGTCCGCCAAAGTTAAAGAATTAATAAATAATAATATGCGGTTTAATTCAAATTTTATAGTACTACTCGAGGAATTACTTAATTTAGGTAAGGAATTGAAAATAAAGGATTTAAAGAAAGTTATACGATACGCAGCATCCGTTATCAACAAATCTTTCCTAACGCCCGGATATAAACCTATATCTTTGCAAGAAATAGCCAATTATATGACATTATTCGATAAATCAATCTCTGAAACATTTACATTTACTTCTAATGCTTCATCTAAATCCAATTTTAGTAATGCATCTACATTTACTTTTGACAATGGCTTTACATCTACTTCCAATGACTTATCCGCAACTATTGCACCAGCAATTTCCAAACAATTATCAAACAATACTAATAACGTGGCACAGGTAGTTTTAACGGACGTTCAAAATTTACATGCCCCGGCGGCGTCGGCGGCGGCGGCGGCGGCGGCGGCGGCGGCGGCGGCGGCGGCAGAGGTTCAAGTAATTTACAATGATTTACCAAAGAAAAATGTATACACCTCTATTGGACCGAATCAAAAGCAGGAATGTATCGTTCCGAATTTACAAATATCGAAAAAGTCTAATACATCGATTTTATACGGTCCTCCTCCTCCTCCGGCGGCGACCCAATCGATGCATAGTAACGTGCAATTGTTGAAAGAAAATCGACAATTGTATAAGACGTCCATGCCGTGTTACGGTCAACAATCGATCCAGCAACAATTTATACCAAGAATTACGTTTTATAATCCTGCCAATTCAAATTCCATGCAATCACATAATAACAAATATATTACTCGAAGATTAAATTTAAATGAAAATGTACAATGTTTTATAGGGAACAATGCGAAATACGCATCTCAAATGGCAGGTCAATCAAATACCGTATCGCATAGAATCGATAACCCAAGGGACATGTCCAAGTTGTCATATGCCCGACAGGCGTCGCAACAAATCAACATGTCTTATAATGTACCGCAAAGATTTCCAATTCAAATGGCGCAGGATATTAAAAGCTCACAAATCTCATGCTCTATGACATTGTCTGCCCAACTCCCAATGGTACATTTCAATAATTCAGAAAATTTACTACAAAGAATAAATAAAATTCCATGCGAATTGTTAGTTCAAATATGGGATCAAGTAACCTTTTGCCTCGAAGAAAGTTTCTTTGATTGTAGAGCACACGAGATATACGATAAGGGCACTTGTGTTTTAAAACTATTTCACGTAGGATGGAAAGAGAAAATATATAAATTTATTCGCTACAAATCCCGGCAAAGTAGCACCGAATCTATAACTAATCTAAAAAGTAAACTAGCTAAATATATATATAAAACGGCAACAATGGAAGCTCAGAAGAGCATATGGCAGGTATATCTTCAAAAACAGAAATCTCAACAATTAACAGATACGATGAAGATATTAATTCAAGATATGATAAGTAAAAATCATGTTAATGTAGAATCAAAGTGTGGATCGAAAACCGAAGCGAGCCGATCTTCTAAATCGCAAAAAGAAGAACTGGACAATATAATAAAACTCGAAAAACAATCTGATTTACGTTCGTTAAAAAATCTAACGGAAGATATTAATAAAAGTGACGCTATATCAAATATTTTGCAAAGTACATTGCCCGTTGACAACAAATTTGATAATGAATTAGTTTCGATTAATGAAATGAATCGTAACGAAGGAGACGCGGTAGAACCTTTTACAAGCTTACAAAATATATTATCGGAATCGGGTGTTATATTGTCCAATTTAAGAAATAAGGATATTAGAGTTAAAGAGGGGAATATTACGGATAATACTGATCCTCGGCGATTGGATTCGAGAGAAAGTCCAATCTCGTCTGACCCGCCGCATATAATAGACGTACGAAGCATATCTCCAACTTCATTTAATACGATTAAGGAAGTTCTGCCTTTTCCTATTAATGATTTACAATTATCTAATATTAACGACGATACTAAAGAGAATGGAATTGAAATAAAAATTCAGATTCCAGAAGATGTAATCTGTTTGAATTGTTCTAAGATAAGTACAGTTGTCTGCGAAATTTGTTTAGAAGCTCACTATTGTTCTAAAGAATGTGCAGCATCGCATTGGATAGAAAAACATCATAAGTATTGTAAGCCCCATTGTGTAATAGGGGCCATCGAAAGAAAAACTTGTTTAGCCCCGAATAGTTGAAACTTTGATCGGTCTTCATTATATGACCTCCTAATAATCATCCATATAGTATTATTATTTTTCTATCCCTTTTTGCATACATTTTTTCCCCCTTTTTTTTTCTCCCTTCTCCTACTTGCCAAATTATCTGAGATATATAATTTTGTTAAGGATAAAAACAATATTTATAAACTGTCGATAATCGACTTATAATGCTACTTATTTTCAATTGCTATGTATGTTACATAGATACGGCTATATCGAAGATTCCAAAAACGTATAAAGACTTTTTATCTTTTATTACCGTTTTATCTTTGTTAATAAAGAATTATATTTTTTTAACGTAATCCATACAATTCTAAACTGAAGTTTAAACGAACTTTTAATCGATACAATAACTTATCAACTCTCTCTCTCTTGGTTATTATATTATTTTCTAGGTACTTGATATTAAAAATAAAAATAAATCCTCATATGAGAAGATTTTCTTAATTTATTCAAACTGTTCCTTCCAAAGCATAGAACAAAGGATTAATTTATTTATATATACTATCTTTTGAGGAACAATTTATAAATAGTACTAATAGACGCTAATGAATTTCTTATTCTTCATAGCCCGTTGGTAAGGCATTTACATGTGGATTATGAAAAAATGATCGTTGTCCATCTCCCCAAGGAAAACGCTAAATGAAAAGTAAATGATAAAAAAACACAGAAATTTATATATATTAGTCGTGCGAATAACTTTTTATATATATATATATATATTTATATAGATACCCTGTTTCTGATTCTTAAATGTTCATAAGGAATAAATTCTGGTTTCTTATGATGTTCATCATTTAGATAACAATTCAATGCAGACAAAATAGTGGCTGGAGCGCCGACGAATATGTATAAATTTCTCCACAAACGCGTGGTATCCCCTGCAAAAAAGAATTATTATGTAATACATGTTATTGCTGATGCGACTAACAATTTTCTCTCTCCGTGTGTATATATATACATATATATATATATATATATATATATATATATATATATATATATACAATATCTACAAATAAGTTTGGAAATATTTAATGCAAAGGTAAATGTGATAGACAAGGTTATATATAAAGATTATAAAACGTATCTGACAATACGTTACGATGACGACAGATCAGTAACAAGGACATATTTAATGACGGACATGGGTTTATTGTATATGACGAGTTGAGTAACGCTTTAATTATATAAATTTATTACCTTTTTCAGAGCTTGCTGCTGCTGCAGTCGCAAAATTTCTCGCAAATTTACGATTAAAGCTTGAAAAAGCCATGCCTAATGTCTTACTTTTCTTCCTTCTATTGACGTAATAAGTCCACTGATTAAGCATTCGCAAGAGGTAATGTATTGTGTTATTTTCCAGATGGTAAAGTTGGTGATCATTTTGCGAACGAAAGTGCGCGAAGCGAACTCTATTATCAGGTTTGTTTTTCTATACATCTTATTAATATAATCTCTCGGTAGATGGCCTTTATAATGTAACGAATCTTGCCACGTGACATCGTCTTCAAAGTTTTTGTAGAACGTGGATCATTCAAACGACATAATATGAAAATAATAATTTTAGTTTTAATATTTCATTCGAAATATTATTTTATCTATAAAGTTGTTTAAAATATTTACCATATATCTTTATTTTTTACAGATTTATATTGATTATCGTATTCTGCTGGTTGATATCTTTTTAATTTTGCAATATTTACGTATACACACACATTCTCACATTCTTCTTTATCACAATATATTCGAACACTTTAATGCCAAATCGTATGCTTTTATCATTTTATAATAATAAGATCAAGTTGGTTTTCAATGAAACAACCGTTCAAATGTTATAGTATAATATTTCTAATCGTAAGATTTGAATTTTCAGCGAATAAATAATGGACGTGCATTCGTGGTATATATATATATATATATATATATACACACACACACATATATACACGCATACATGTTCAGATATTATAATTTCAAAGATGCGCGGGGAAGTGATCCCATTTATTTCTTCCCTATCGATTGTATTTTAAACTGAACAATCGTTATTACTTTTTTGCTGGATGGGCAATTCCAACGTAAAGAAAAAATACCATGACCATCAGAAATATGCTAGTCAGGTATTTACGTGATAATTGTTCTAACCTCTAAATACTGAATAATTTATTTCATAACATAACACGCAAAAGAAAAATAATGACGTTTCATTGGACAATTGCGTTAAATTTGTTAATTAATACACACACACACACACACACATATGTATATATCTGTGTGCATACATATTACAGTATAGTCTCATTGACATCATCGGTGGGAGTTGTGCTGGATCAACGAGATCATTTCAAGTAGAAATCAAATCATGGTCACGGGCCTCCTATAGAAGGTAATTTTTACATGTTTATTTTTGTGTTATACATTAATGGAGAAAGCATACTGTGTCGTACACTTGGAACGAAAGCATATTCCATGATTCTCTTAGTTCTTCTAAAACGGCCTGGCCGATACCTAGGTCTGAAGCTATCTTTCTGCCAGAATTTAAAGTCAGAAAGATGACTTTAAATACAGAATATAGCTTTCTCGACGTCATTGCTAAAGGTGCATATGGAAGAGTTTATAAAGTTCAGAGTCGGGAAAATAGACAAGTTTTTGCTTTGAAAGTTATTAGCAAAGCTAAAATTATCACCGAGAATGCCGTTACTCAGGCAAAACAGGAGGTATTACGTTATCTTTGCACATCTATATTATTATAGATATACAAAACTAAATAATCATATTTTATAGGTAGCTATACAAAGAATGGTCGGGCATCATCCCTTTATAGTAAATTCTACCCATAGATGGCAAAGTAGTAAAACCTTATACATATGTAAGTTTATTTTATGATATACAGTGAACATTTTTTGGCATAACATTTTACATTATTTACATTCTGCAGTAACAGATTACATGTGCGGCGGGGAATTATTTTCATTAGTAGAGAAGTATGGCTGTTTGCCTGAAGAAGTAGTTAGAATATATGTCGCCGAAGTTGCTTTAGCTATTGGTAAAAATCTATAAAACATATTTCAGATTTCATCGTTTAACGCTTAGCATTTCATCATCAAAAAAGTATTGTTTGCTTTAAGATTTTTTACATAATGCTGGAGTGGTGCACAGAGATTTGAAAGCAACAAATATTTTATTGGATGAAGAAGGGCATGCTATGATTATAGATTTTGGTTTATCCAAGTGGTTACATCGTACGCAAAGGACAAATACTTTCTGTGGGACTCCTGAGTACATGGGTAATTCAGAGAGTGCGCGCGTGCGTGTATCATATCTATTTAAAATTTAAACTACACTCTCCATATGCCTTTCCATTTTTTATCAATTTCAGCGCCAGAAATTTTAAAAAGGCAATGTTATGGTCAAGAAGTCGACTGGTGGTCTCTTGGTGTTTTGATGTGCTTTCTACTCACCAATCGGGTATGTAATATAAACTTATTCTTCATTATTCGTATTTGTATATAATTCAAAATAATTTTTAAATAATGAATAATTATGTTTAAGTTTTTAAACATTAATTTCATTCTGTCGTATAACTGGTTTAAAAGCAACTCCGATCGTAAGACTCCGTGGCGCAACGGTAGCGCGTCTGACTCCAGATCAGAAGGTTGCGTGTTCAAATCACGTCGGGGTCAAAATTTCTCATTTTTTTATTTTTTATCCTTTTACTTAAGCTCACTTTATTTAATAACGCGTATATGTAAAAATAAATTTCATCGTGTAGAGTTTGTTGTTGAAGCAATTATTTTTTATATAAATTTATTTCAACAATACAAGTTTGTTTCGGACGTCGAGAAGGAAAATAGGAACGATTAAATTAAATACGATCATAAGTTTCGCAAATATTGGAAATAGAAACGCGTACATATTTTAAAAATTGTCTCCGACGAAATGACGTATTTTGAAATCAACAAAAATTAATAAATAAATTATATACATATATGTGTATAATTTATGTATGTATATATATATATAAAATTTGAAAATGTACGAAATGCTGAGAGCAAAAAGAAATATTATTTCTCTCGCCCCCGGGTGGGCTCGAACCACCAACCTTTCGGTTAACAGCCGAACGCGCTAGCCGATTGCGCCACGGAGGCGATTGAAACTCTGATTTGTTAGAATATCGTGGTATGTTCCACTTGTCTGTCGAACTTATTCATTTTCATTTCTTTAGGGAGATAAACTCTTTCATAATTTTTCGCATAAGAAAAAAAAAAAAAAGATATAGAGAATAATCCAAAAATATTGGGCAATATGAAAATATAAATATTTGTTGCGATTTATAAGATACGTATCTTGTTTCTTAGAATACTCTGATAGAGAGTATGACCTCTCAAGATCTCACGGTATTTCAAAAGGCAACTTGTTTTTTCTCGTTGACATTACTAAAATCGTTGATGATCGTAAGTGAAGAGGATAAAAAGAAAAAAGAAATAAGAAATGAAAAATGAAGAAAGAATCAGTCATTTGCGTTAGGACATACTTAAATACGCTATAATTCATTCCATTTAGCCGTGCTCACTCGATTCATTGATACATCAAAGAATCTTGCGATAGATTGCAAAACTTTCTGCGCCTTGACATTTCGTCGAGTACAGCGACCTTATAGATCTTCACTGTTTATACGCCATCTACTTTTCATTCGGCCTTCGATGAGTCGATGCTTTCGCGCATATTACGAATAAATGTCGCGCTCTATCGTTCTTGTCTTGCGCAAAGAAATTCTTCGTGGGAAGGCTAAATTTTTTTTTTCTTTAAGGAAAAAGCACGGGTCTTTATTTTCACTTACGATTAGTCGTCAATTACGACTAATTGTAACTTATGATATTAATATCCAAATGTTAGATAAAATCTCCAAAAAGTAAATCCTCGAATTTACTTTAGGTACACCATAAGAGGTACGTTCTATACAGGACAAATATCGTTGAACTTGATTACTCTCTTTCTTCTTTTTTCTTTTACAGAGGATTGGTATCAGTAACGTCATGTTTACGTGAGAGATGACAGTAATAATAATTATTATTATTATTATAACGATGATGACAGCAATAATACAAATAATATTATTAATAATAGTGGAACTGGTACTAAATCGTAATAATAAAATAATAGTAATAGTAGTAGTAGTAGTAGTAGTAATAGTAGTAGTAGTGGTAGTAGTAGTAGTAGTAGTAGTAATAATAATAATAATAATAATAATAATAATAATAATAATAATAATAATAATAATAATTGTGGAACTGCTACTAGATCGTAATAATAATAATATTAATATATAATAATAATAATAATAATAATAATAATAATAATAATAATAATAAAATAATAAAATAATAAAATAATAAAATAATAAAATAATAAAATAATAATAATAATAAAAATAATAATAATAAGAAGAAGAATGACGCGTTAACTCTAAGAAAACAGACTCGAAAACTAATTGCTAATCTATCGGAATGGGTCTGGTTAGGTGTGGTCGAGTGTTCGTTCGAAAAAAAAAGAAATAATAAAAAGGACATACACACATATATTTCTTTATATATATATATGTATATATAAAATTGCGGGAGTCCCGGGATAAGGATGTTGCAAAAAAAAAAGAAAGAAAAGAAAAAGTAAAGTCAGGAGAGCAGAAGAGATTCGTCCTCGCGTACCATCCACCGGAAGTAAGAGCCGTGTAGTTGTAGTTGTCGTACGTCAGGACGAACGAGGGTGCAGCTCGGTGTAGAAAAAATTCGCCGAACCGGATCCTCAGGAAGAAGGACGACCATGTGCACTACTTCGGGCTCGTTTTCGAATCGGGTCGCGATTCGTCACGTGGTCATCCTACTTCCCTGGTCCCTCCTTTCTTCCTTTTTTCTATTTTCCTTGCTAAAAAAATTCGTCTCTTGAGATATTCGAAATCGTAGCGCGCCGGGGAATATACACCCTAACACCACTGTCGATCGGATGCGTTTTGTCTCGTTTTCTCTTCTTGCCACCTCATCTCTCGCTCTCTCTCTCTCTCTCTCTCTCTCTCTCTCTCTCTCTCTCTCTCTCTCTCTCTCTCTCTCTCTCTCGCGCGCGCTCTCTCTCTCTCTCTCTATCTTTCGACATATACATACGTTCACACACGCGCACACATCCACATTGATGCTCGCACACTCTCTTTATTTTTTTTCTTTTTTCTTTTTTTTTTTTTTTTTTAATTAATTTGTAATTTTTTTTGTTGTTTAATATCTTTCTTTCCTATAATCTTGACCTGACATTCAGTCGTTCACACTCGGCGATTCTTCCTCTCTCTCTCTCTCTCTCTCTCTCCCCCCCCTCCCCTCCCCTCCCCCTCCCTCCCTCTTTTCCTCTATCTTGATCGATCTTCCTTCGGGGATGGTCTCGTGCATTTCTTGCCGATCGTGTCAACGAGCATCGTCCCTTTATGAGGCGCTCTTCTCCTCGCTGTTACTCTGGCTGCTGTTCTCCTCGCTCTTTTTGCTGGCGTTACTGCTCTGAAGGAGTGACGGACTATTATCCTCTTGTGCAGAAGAGGAAGATGAGAGAGCCTTCAACTGGGTCGACGAGTCAACGTTCGCGTCCTTTACTTCTTCAGGTTTTGGCAACAACTCTGGCTTTGATTCCTCTATCGCTTTTGACGATTTTTCCTCGGAGGAGGATTTTTTGTCATCGTCATCGTCCTCTTCGCTGCTATTCTTAGCGTCTTCCTTTTCGACCGATTTGTCTTCTTCAGAAGAGGATTCCTTCGAGCGTTCCTTTACATCAGTGGCGATGCCAGGAGCAGCGGCAGGAGCAGCAGCAGGAACGGCGGTGGCGGCTACTTCCGGTTTGGTCTCTTGTTTCAGAGATTCTTCAGTTTTTGATTTCGCCTGTTCCTCTTCCGCCGCAGAAGCATCTCGCTTGATCTGGCTAGATTCCTCTGGTTTTGCGGCAGCGTCGGCCGCACCACTTTGGGATTGTTTCTGTTCCTTTGTCGCTTCCTCGGATTCAGCGCTCTTAGCTTCCTTCTCGGCTTGAGGCAACGCAACCGACTTATCGCCATCTTTAACATCTTCCTTTTGATTGCCATTTGACGAGGAAGAGCTCGCTGGTTCTATCGGTTTTTCGATCTCTGCGGCTGTACTTTCGGATGCTACGCTACCATTCTTTTCCTCAGTTTGATTCTTCTTTTCGCCCTCTTGATCTTTGTTGCCTGCATCATCATTAATCGGAGATTTCTCGAGTATTACAGTTGATACAAATTCCTCGGCATCGCGAGTCACACGATCTGGTTTCTCCTCGGCCTTGACTTCCTCTTTCAATGGCTCCTCGTTCTTATTGGCTTCGTTCGAATTTTCAACCGTCTTCTCGGCTTCTTGAGCTTGACTTTCAACAGATGCTGGCACAGCTCCTGCCTTCAGTAAAGAACTTTCCGCTTGTTCCACGGATTTTTTCTCTTTTTCTTTTGGCTCCTCCTCCTTCGCTGCTACATCTCTCTTCTCTTGGGACTCCTCGCTGGATTCGGCGCTCTTCCCTTCGGCCGGTGCTGCTTGCTCCTGAAATAATGGAACGACGAATTAATAAAGTTAAACACGCAATTGATTTCGACACCGTTCCACTTTTCCCTTTCTTTTCTTTTATTTCGTTTTATTTCCTTTTTCCTCGTTTAGATGCTCCTGACTTACCTTCTTCTCGGACGCTTCAGCTGGTGCTTGTGGTTGTGCCTCGCGTGACGTAGCTTGTATAGTTTCCTTCACTTCGGACGCTGCTTCCTTCAGACTTTCATCCTCCTTCTTAACCTCTCCAGACTGTTGTTGTTGCGGTGGCTGCGGCGCGACTTGTGCTTCGGCATTTTGTTCAGGGAGTTCCTTTTTTTCGTTAGCTTGCTCCAATGATGCCTCGCGAGCTATCGGCTTAGATTCCTCCTCCTTCTTTTCCTGGGATGAGGAGGAGGATTGAGGTTGCTGAGAATTCTCGCTTTTCGGATTCGGTAATTGAGCTTCGGCCGGAAGTTCTGCTTTAGCCTCTGCGCTTTCCACAAGAGCTGGCGCCGATGACGGTTCTGCTGGTGCGATCGAAGACGCGGCAGTATCGGAGGAGACATTAGCGGCTTCTTCGGAATTCGCGGTGGCTGCTTTTTCGAGCGGTACCACGGTCGGAGGTGCTTCTGCTTCGTGATGATTCGCCAAGGGAGCAGCCCTTGCTCCCAGCAAGCACACCATCGATATTAGGACGAGCTTCATCATCTTGATCGATCTGCAACGAATCGCAACGTATCTCTCGTAATGATCTCCTAATTATCGGGTAAAAATAATAATAACCGTGATTATAATTTCCTCTTTCACCGTTGAGAATTTTTATGACGTACGTACACGTATGTACGCTTTCAATGACAATTTCCCGATAGAGAATATGATCGAGACAGTGGAAGAACGAAAAGAAAAGAGAATCGAAGAGAGAGGTCGAAACATTCACGACGTTTATCGACGAATATCGATCGTAGATACTGTTCGTACATACGTGCAACTTCGTATGCACACATATCTATACACGGATATAAATGTTTATATCTATGATGAATGGTCAGTTAAGAACGAGAATAGTTGGGAGCTCTTTTCGCTTTTGAATGGAACGCGAAGGGTAGCGACGAGGAGTATCGGATTTGCTGATGCTGCTAACGTTGCTGGTGCAAGAATCGGCAGGAAGAAGAGGGACGGATGACATTGAGCCGAATGCATTGAATAAGGCGAGCGCGTTATGGAACTAATGACAGGATGCACGCCCCTCACGCTTGTTACGCGTATGACTCTCTCTCTCTCTCTCTCTCTCTCTCTCTCTCTCTCTCGCACATACACATTCTGCGTATTTCTCCTCGCGCACGCGTTTCGCGAGCTGGCGCGTGTCTCTGAATAAAATCCTTGGTCATGGCCGGAAATGGATAATCTTACGATCGAAGAAGACATCTTTTTTTTCTCATCGAAAGGATGTATCGAGTGTTAGCCAATTTTAGGTATTATTTATCTTGGGTAAAGTCGAGTGTCCGGTGTGTCCCCTCGTAATAGTCAACGCGTTAACCTTCTTAACATTCAGGGAAAGCTTCCGTCGAGGAAACGACGTGCAAAAACGGAGAGGGATCATTTTCTCGAAAGTCCTTGAGAATTTACGATACACCATGCGATGTTTTATTATGGTAGATAATCATTTACTTTTGAACGGTATTGTACGGACAAGAGAGCGTGAAAACGAACGCAAATATGCTTCCCATTCAAAAGCATTAAACACACGATCGCGATGACAAAGGCAATCTTTCTCTCTTTCTCTCTCCCCCCCCCTCGTCGCGTGTGAATCATCAAATTCAATTTTTTTCGATGTTAAGTTTATCGTAAATAAAAGAAAATCTTGAGATAATTTTGTTCGCTTCGATAAAAAGACACTTTCAAACAAAGTTTGAAACGAAATGGAATGCAAACGTTCGCGATCGAAAAGAATCGAGAAAGGGAAAGACCGCGACGGAGTATGGTACGAAGAGATAGATGGATAGAGAAAGAGAGAGAGAGAGAGAGAGAGAGAGAGAGAGAGAGAGCGAGAGAGAGAGAGAGAAGGGGGAGAGGGAAGGACACACAACGGTCCGTCCAGTTTTTATCTCGACTAGCTTGATTTCGCGTTTGGTAACATACGTAACAACGCCGATAGTCCGCGGCTTGCTCGCGCAACCACGAAGTTCTTACGAAGGCGATCAACTCGGAGAGATCTTTGGCAACGATCGAAGCTTACTCGTACCTACTCTTTCGAATCTTGCTAGCGTTCAGTTAGCGAGGGCGTATACGACATTCCGTAGAAAATCGTTGCTCGTCGATGAAAGGATATTTTCTCGTTGTTTTTCTCTCTTCTATTTTTATTGCCAATAATTTCTTTCAGCTAATAATTTTCGTAATAATTATGAAAACATAAAATAAGTAAAATCTGTATAGGTTCACTGTAGTTGTAGAGTTTAAGCTATAATTCATTTCAGATCGTTCACCTTGCTTCTATGTTAAGAGTAGTATTATATGATTGATTCTACGATTGAAGGTAAATTGGAAAATGAGATTCGAGAACTGAATTCGATTATCGGATTTCGAAGGAAGAGCGTTGATTATTTCTCTCTCTCTCTCTCTCTCTCTCTCTCTCTCTCTCTCTCTCTCTCTCTCTTTCATCATAGAATCGGACAAATGCGATGCGAGCTCGCATCGGCTCGATAGGGAGAGAGGAAATGCCTGTGAAAGATGATGGACACCCATTACCTCATCAAGATCATCAGAGTTGTAATAATGGTAGCGCTTACAAAAGAAGAATGCGGGGAACGATCGAGTGATCCAACGTCAATGACGTTGACGTTCCTCTTGTTCTTCTTTATGCTCTTTTCCGCTTTGAATTTTGCGCAAATTTTCGAAGGATCAAAAATAGTCGACGACGTTCGATAGCATCGACTTTGTTATCGTTTATTATCGAAAAGTACACATTTATCATTGTGCTCAAACTTTTGCCCTTTCGTTGATTAAACGAAACGCGTTGAAAAGAGGAAGTCGCGACAGGTCGTACGCCGACGTTGATTGCAATGTTAGAAGATTAATGAAAGAGAATAATTAGGTATCGCACAAGTTCTTGAGAGAGAGAGAGAGAGAGAGAGAGAGGAGAGAAAGAGAGAGGTAAAAGTGAAGAAACAGAAAATGAGACGAGAGTGTTACATCGAAGCGAATGAGCAAGTGAGAGAGAAAATTACACAAAAGAACCATTGAGAAATCGGCACGATTTAGACTAATTATATGTCCTGTCGATGATTTTTTTAACGCGTTTGACTTACTCTTTTTCTTTTCTTCTCGCTCTAATTTCGCGATTCGGGACGTAAATTACCGCTCGTTGTAGTCTCTCTCTCTCTCTTCTCTTTTTTTATCTCTTGTCATTTTAAAAGAAGAGCGGCACGATTCGTGAAATCGTCAGTCGCTCATTTCGTCTTCTTGCAAAATTTCTTTCGCAAGTCTAACAATCCAACTGTAATCGCAGACTCTCTCCCATTCTCTCTTTCTCTCTCTCTCTCTCTCTCTCTCTCTCTCATTGTCTCTATAATTGAAAGCAATATTTTTAATCATATTTATAAGTATTGTTTCTTCGATTGAAAATAACACTAGAGATCACTCGAAAGATAAATCGATAGATGGAACAAGAGAGAAAGAAAGGGAGATAATTAAATGAGAAGAAAAATGCTGTAATTGTTTAATTCGGTACTCACGTTATTTTAATCTTCCTCTATCGTCAAACTCGTTACAACGGACGTGGGGAAAAGCACCAACAACCAACGGCAATAAGCGAGTCTTCTTCCTCTTTGCTCCTTTGATTCGACGCGAGAAACTCCACGAGAACCGATAGAATACCGATTGTATGTATCTCCCTCTTTCTCTTTATTTCTCTCTACGATATGATTTGGCTATCTAATACATATATATGTATATATATATACATATATATATATATATATATATATACTCGCGAATGGTCGTCGCGCGCGTGCGATAACGCTCGTTTGCAAAGTACCGTGGTGATCGGGATGAAGGTTGGGTCGTGTGTCGAGATGGAATCGTCCGGGCCTTGCTTATATACCCATTTACCCACTCGACGAGCCGACAGGATCGCGCAGGGGCCCCTCTGCTGTCCTCCTCCACGAGGGAGGGGCCCCTCTCCTCTTACTCTTTTCTCTCTCTGTCCTTCTTTTCTCTTTCTTCACTCTTCTCGTCTCTTCCCTTCCTTTGCCCCCCCCCCCTCTCTCTCTTTCTTTCCTCCAATGTTTCCGCGTCTTTTACTCTCCCTCCTTTCTCCCCCACATCCTCCGTCTTCGTTCCAAGCTTTTTCTTCCCTCCTCCCTGTCCCTCTCCTATTATACAGCGTGTTCTCCGATTCAACTTCTTTTCGTTCTCCGGCCCACGCCGTCTACCAAGAGACAACCAAGATACACACCATCGTCGTAGTAAATGACAAAAAAAAGATCGAGAGAAAGAACGATCTCTGAAGATTTTCGTGTCTCCCTATGAATTTCTCGCTCTCTTCTTTGTCTTCTTTTTATTTATTAAGCTCATCCGGTGTGTGCGCCTGTGCTCGTGCCTCTGTCCGTCTCTTCTCTTTCTCTGGTTCCTTTTGAATATTAGCTAAATTCGAGCAGTTAAGGGAAGTATCGTTTCCTCTTATGGGTCATTACGGTCTATCACGAGGACCTCCCAGTTGCTTAAACGTTATCGGTGATAACATCTCTCTTGATCTTTATCGCTTTATTCTCGTTGAATTTTTTTTTCTTCTTATTTTTTTTTCTTTTTTTTTTTTTTTTTTTTTATTTAACAGTCACAAACCTGAACAGGTATCGGAAACAGAAATATTGCTTTTATTTTAATCAACACGGAGAACTTTGTCTCGATCGATGGACATTTCTTCTTATTTACGATCGATTCAAATCGATAGATTTTTTTCTTTTAATTTTTTTTCCTGTCTTCTGCTTCATCGATCTACATACCTACTCACCTTTTACATAAGTCTTCGACAAAGTTCCGTTTCGAATCGAAACGAACGGACGTGGTCTGTCACATCTCTGCATCCGCGTACGTGCGTACTTGGACGCGCGTATACATCGTCCGGAAAGTCTGCTCGTCGTATAGGAAAGCTCGTAAAAATTTTCTGGAGCCAATGTAAATTTGACCGGACGAGTTGTCGACGCGTTGTCAACGAGTATCGACGAGCCTTCGACGATGACGTGATTCATCGTCGAAGAAGGGTTCTCATCCTCTGCGCTTGCACGCACGTGTCATAATTTACGCATACGCCCTCGATTTGCGAGTTACACGCGCGTGTGCGCCCGCGTGTCGTGTCATTATGTAAACATCCAGTGAACGCGTGCGTAGAGCAAAATCTTTCGCTCGAATCGTTCCATGCAAAATGAACTATCAACCATCTGCTTTTTTCTTTTTTTCTTTTTTAACAGACAAGTTGGCATTTTTGTTCGCAGGTTTTTTTTTCTTTCGGTAAGAAAAAAAAAAAAAAAAAAATATTTTTACGCACGGACGAATTCCTTCCTACGATAATCATGAAAATATCGTATCGAGTTCCGATTCAGATATAAATTCGAATTTTAAATATTAACCTTTAACGCGTGCCTTTCGCGTAATTTTCTCATAAACTTTGATTTTGCGCGTTCGTTCTAGGATATCTTCCACTGAGAGGTCTATCCTACGCATACCTATTATAAAATGAGAATCCAAAAGATTTTACTTAAAATAAGAATTTTATCGAAATATATATACGTATTCTATCTTTATGTATTCTACATATATATGTAGGTACATGTATGTGTTTTCCTTCGGGCGAAGGTCGATCGAAGTCGACGATACCATGTGTCTCATCGACGGTCAAAATGTACCTATACGGATTGACTTTTCTCTCTCTCTCACTCTCTCTCTCTCTCTTTCTATTTTATGCGTTGAGAATCCGCTCGGAGAGTAACCTCTCTCTTCGAATTCCTCGAGAACGAGAGGCTAAAAGAGAGGTTCGTGTGTGTGTTTTTATGTACCTAACAAAGCTATGCATGATTTATCGAGCGAGCTATTACCTTTTTGGAGACGCATCGCTAACACATCTACGTTGATAGGATATTTTCTATCTTCTAAGGATTGCTAATTCGTTGTACATTTCGATACGTCGTGATAATTAACGACGAGACACGAGTATATAAATATTGTAGGCTATTCGTTATCGTAGACTGCTAGTATTTTTCTAATTCTACCTCCTGCAAATTAATGCTTTTGAAATTTTGCGGTTATTTCATTTCTGTTATATCGCCGATAGAATCCACTTGTAGATTTGGACGCATCGGAAGATGTCATTTCTGCGACGCCATATCGAAGGCATTACTAAGAAAAGTCTATCGTTAAAGAAAATCACATTTCCTGTGTCGAAATTGTACATTCCTCCCTTGATCTTACGCCTGTCTATTGGACTATAAAACTGACTAGTATTACTAAGAAACGTTTGTGAGCTAAGAATAGATTGTAAGTTTGCCCGAGGGAAAGACTTCCTCTTTTTCCCCTTTCATCATCATCATCTTCTTCTTCTTCTTCTTCTTCTTCTTCTTCTTCTTCTTCTTCTGTTTCTTTATCCATATTCTTCGCGAATCCCTTTTCTTCCTGGTTCTGCTTTCAACTTCTACGTTGTTTCGAGTAAACGCTTTACAACCGGCGATTGCTAACCGTTACGTACCGTTAGAGACGTCGCCATAATCCATATCGACTACTCGCTATATATGTGCGTGTGTATATATATATATATATTTTTTTTTTTGTCTCTTTTTGCTCATAGTCAATCGTATCCTATCGAAAACCTCGAGGTTGAAAGAAAATGACAGACGCAAAAAGAATGAAAAAAGGAAAAAGAAAAGAAAAGAGTGATCTCTAACGATCGAAGATTGGCAAAATACTATAAATAGATATAGTTTGCGTCCTCGCAATCTAGAGTTACATAAAGGTGACTCGAGCTAGTTTGCGCTTAATTAGCGGAAAATCGATCGACCATGGCACTTTTCGTTTCCTCATCCTCGTACTTTTCTCTCTTTCTTAAATACGATGTTTCGCAGTATTCCATGATCAGCATCAAGGCCGAAAGAGCTCAACGAGCCCCGTTAACGAAATAAAAAGTTTAACGCGCGTGAAAAGGAAACGTGTTGTCGTCGTCGTCGTCGTCGTCGTCGTCGTCGTCGTCGTCGTCGTCGTCGTCGTCGTCGTCGTCGCCGCCGTCGTCGTCGTCGTCGTCGTGTCACGTAGCGACGAGATGTAATTCTCGGAAACAATAATTAGCTATGCTTAAGAAGCGAACGAGAGCTCCAAGATACCCAAGTTTTTTTTTTTCAAATGTTTAATAAAAATATTTACTCTTTTCGCGATCAAGATCTTCATTTCAAGGATCGACGGAAACGTATCGTGGAAATCTAGTAAATGAATAATCGACGCGTAAGAATCTTTTTTCCCTCTCATTATCATTTTTTTTCATTTCCGCTTGAAATAACGAGAATGTTAGGAAATTTACAGAAATTAAATTTGTTTTCCTTATGTAGAACCATTTAGTTGGCTCGTGAACGTTATATGTTACATAATTTGTAATATTTAGTTAGCTCTTTCTATCATTATTATTAAGATTTATTGACAAACGACATTCCTCGAGTCAATCATTTTAATTATTTGATTAATCGCAAGTACGACCAAGATCTTTAGATCGAATATGTGTTTTTTTACCGACGATAAACAAGTGTTCTTCGTGTCATTTGTCACTTCACTCTTCATATCTTGTAGGATGCAATAACGCTCATGGCATTAACCTCTATCGATCTACGAGGTAATCATCATCCGATGAATCATTATTCATGATATTTCTGTGCATCGCGTTGGATTAGCCGAGCGTTGTCCTTCGAAAGAAGCTATGACCTATCTATCTAATTTATGAGAGATTATTATGTGCGAAACGAGAACTTTGATTCTTTCAAAATAGCCGTGGCCTCCTTGGGTTTGAAGGTTTCCTTCTTTTTTCTTCTTTTTTTTTTTTTATTTATGTGCGTCTCTCGCGTACTAATCGAGATGATGCCTTCGATCGTTAATGTCGTAACTTTTTTATATGTCTTTATTAAAGTTTTCTTTTTAAATCGTGATTAATATAGCGATAAGACATAAAAAAGAGTATATTCAATTTTTTACAAAGAACAATAACAAAGAAAAAGGCGTATCGAATACGCGTATGGAAAATCGAAGAGAAGGAAGATTCGAAAGGGCTTACGAGGTGGATCTCGCGTTTAGGCATATCTAGTCGACCTTGAATGCTCAACTTCTAATTTTAACCCAAACTGGATCCGGTTTTTGTCACGATGCGTTCGGTGTCAGGGTTTGCCAGCAACCAAGCAACCGGCTTCGCCCGCTCTCGCTTATCCCTCTCCCCCTCTTTCTCTCTCCCTCTCTTTCTCTGTAATCGATTAAATAATTAATATTCCAGGTCATTTATGTGCGGTATAATTCTTCTTATTCTCCTTCTACATCTCCTTCTTCATTTCTAGTTATGCTTTTACGTTTTTCGTCTCATATCATTACGTGGAATTTCTTCTCTCCTACGACGAATCTCCCCTTTGGAATTTCTACGTTTGATTTTCATTTTCGAACTTATCGAAATCATTCTGATGGTCAAGTATCGTTATAATTTTTATATCGAGAGATGCCAATTTCTTTCCTTCTTTCTTCTTCTTCTTCTTCTTCTTCTTCTTCTTCTTCTTCTTCTTCTTGTTCTAACGACGGAAACGTTATTAACGAACGAACTGCGACGACGTGAACTTTGTTGACCCGAAACGCTGGAGCGTGAAGGAACCTACGCCGTGGTAGTAGAACATCCTAGAAAGTAACCATAACCAAGCAATACCCCTCACCTTTTGCTTAGCTAGCTCCGTGGGTAAATATCGTAGAAGAGCGTCGGAAAATTTGATGGATTCGACGATATCTTTCAAACGATTTCCTTCGTTCGAAGGTGTTTTTACAAATACAAGAAAAAGAAAGGAAAAAAAAAA